CTCTAAAAGTTGAAGGGCCGCACTTTGTGGCTATGGGGGCCGCATTCTTTCACCCCTACCCTAGAACATTGTGTTAGCATAACGGGACCAAAGAATGCAGAGCTCGGTTCACACTAGTTCGAAAATAGTGTTACAACTCACCATGTGAAACAAAAGTGAATGAATATTAAACAATATATATGCCTCAAAAAAGCCTCAGTAGCCCCGGTTAAGCCACAAACCGGTTAATCCGCCCCCGGATAATCGAGAGTTGACTGTACTTACTCATGGAGCTGAGCCCTTCTGGAGAAGCCGCCAATTCTGCAGCTACTCAAGAATTTCCCAGCATTTTATAGAACCTGTAGGTTCATTACCATATTCACAAGAGCCCTCCACTGGTCCCTATCCTGAGCCAGGTCAATCCAATCCATACCATCCCATCCTATGTCTCTTAAGATCCATTGTAATATTTTCCACCCACTTATGCCTTGGTCTTCCCAGTAGTGTCTTTCTTTCTGGCTTTCCCACCAATATCCTATATGCATTCCTCATCTCCCATTCGTGCTACATGCCCTGCCCATTTCATCCGTCTTGACTCGATCATTCTAATTATACTTGGAGAAGAGTGCAAGTTATGAAGCTCCTCATTGTTCAGTTTTCTCCAACCACATGTCACTTCATCTCTCTTCAGTCCAAATATTCTCCTCAACACCCTGAGTCTATGTTCCTCCCTTAATGTCAGAGACCAAGATTCACACCCACACAGAACCACAGGCAAAATTATAGTTTTGTATATTCTAATTTTTATGTTTTTGGACAGCAGACAAGAAGACAAAAGGTTCTGGACTGAATGGTAGCAAGCATTACCCGAGTTCAGTCTCCTCTTAATTTTCTCCTGAATCAGGTTTTGATCTGTTATCGTTGTCCCCGAATATCTGAACTGTGCCACGTTTTCAAAGCATCTGTTTGCTATCTTTATGTCATGATTTTGCCCTGCATTTTGGTGAAAAGACAGCAACATATACTTGGTTTTCTGTGTGTCTACTTCTAGACCAACCACTTTACTTGCATCAGTTAAAGCTTGTGTGTTTTTCTTTATGGTATCTACATTATCATCCAGTAGATTTACATCATTGGCATAGGTCAACAGCTGATGTGTCCCATTTAATTTCAGTCCCACCTGGTATCCCTGGACCTTCCTAATGGCATATTCTAAAGCAAAATTTAAAAGGAGTGGCAATAAAGCATCTCCTTGGTTTAGACCATTCTGGATAGGAAATTTATCAGACAAATGTTTACCTACACAGATTTTACTATATGTTTAGTTTAAACACATTTTAATCAACCTAACTAGTTTCATGGGTATCTCAGACTCTATCAGAATATTGTACAATACTTCCCTCTTAACTGAATCATAGACTTTCTTGAAGTCTGTAAATAGCTTATGTACTGTGTCTTATTAGAATAAGATCTAAAAGTTTGACAGTGGTACATTAATACAAATATTATGTTTCTGGACATTATCCATTGTCCAGTTTTGTCTAAAATCAAGATGGGATTTTTAGACAAAATCAGGATGGATAATGTCCAGAAACATAATACTTGTCTTATCAGAATTCTGGATGAAATGGTAATATGGTGAGAATATTTGTAGGCTGAGGTGATGCATGGCCTTTGTGCTATGTGATCACTGCATTGATTTTCACTGTTTCTATTTGGTGATCTGTGGCAGAGTACCCTGATCAGTCATTAGCAGTGATAAGAGGAAGTGGTATTATAAGGCTGTATGTGACTCATTCTGGTGCAAGATTCTGTTTATGTAGGGCTCAACTAGAGCATAAACTGTTTGTATGTTAAGTATAATTCCACAAGGAAGAGTCAGGCCATATTCAGAAAAAAGTTTCCCAGAGGTTGAATTACTCACAGACACTATTCAGTATCTTGTCAGCAATGTAAGAAATTAAATATGTCAGCATTGAGAACAGAAGGAAAGTTAGAGTCAAAGTTTGACTTGACGTGTAAGCTATTTAAATTCCTTGCACAAGAAATGAAGTAAAAAAATGAAGTGTGAGAACCACTACAAAATAATTGCAACTAACCTTACTGAAACACAGTTTTCCTCCTCTGCAGTCCCTTGACCCGTTTCCGTTTGCCTTCCCTTAAACTTGTCCTTGGTTTTCAGATAATAGAATAATGTGAACATTCAACTAGGAACATATCGCATGTATTAACACAAAGAAAAGGATTTGTGAGCAGGACAATAAGTTTCTTCATTAATTTTTGATAATGAATAATTCACATGATAGGATAGCTTAAAAGGTCATGACAATTTCTTTATGACACATCTGTATGTTCTCTTGTATTATTCTAGGTTGCAGAAATGATTCGTCATTGTATTGACAGTCACCTTCAACCTGTACCATCAGTATTAGAGATTCCATCAAAAGACCATCCTTATGATCCTACGAAGGACTCCATTCTGCGTCGAGCTAGGGTTAGTATTTATAAAAAACCGTTCTTTGTAAGTTTTAATCAAGGCTAGGGATTTTATCTTACCAGACACACATTGTCATCAGGTGATCATCTTAATTGTCACCAGTTCCTTATTTTGCTTAGAATCCACATTTTTTTTTTTTTTTTTTTTTTTTTTTTTTTTTTTTTTTTTTTGCTTTATATTGAGTTCCTGAGAGTTTTTCTCATGCAACCAGCACATTCCATTCCCCATACATGCTGGATATGGTGAGTTTACTGTATGTGTAGGTTCACTAACTGATGTAAATGGCTTTCTATACATTACTTAATTTGAATGTCTCCAGCATGGCGCAACCTCAGAATACAAACGGAGATGGTCTTCAGATATGAATGTGGCTGCTTAGTCTGCATCACGAAATTATGACCATCAGCATTGCTGTGAAATGATGCAGCTGTGCAACAGTACTTTTAGAGCCCAGTCCAGTTTAGTTGAGTTGAACATTCTGTGTAACTTCCCATTTCAAGTTGCTGTAACATTTTACTTTCTTTATAGCATCAGCGAGATATTCTGACCACTGCAGTCTTCAAAATTTTTAATATTATGCTTGTATTTTATTATTTTAAGAAACTTTAATATTTTCCTGTGTATTTGTAATGATCATTAATTTTGCAGGCAATAATATACACTACTATGAATTTACATTTTATATACTCTGTACATTACCCTCTGTTCCTTCGTCTTGATCAATACGTGTTACAATTACACATGGTAGTTTTTTACTGCAGCTGGGACATTATTAAAAAAAATGGTCGTTTTGTTCCCTTGTTTAGCTGTTTAATGTAATGTGTGGCTTCCATTTAATAATGTCAAGCAGTGATGTACATATTATTTAATGACATGGAAGAAAATATTTTGAGCAAGTGTGTTTACACAAAAAAGCACAGTTATTTTATGTATGACCTTTTTTTCAGTTCACTTTTGATATAGCAGTAATGCTTTAGACTTGTATTTGAGGGGTGCTCAGTTTCAATCTTGGATGGGACATTGGCTGACCCGAGGTCTTTCATGGCTTTCCCCAGGCCACAACTGCTCTGAAATCATTATTCACCACTCATTCTACCATACAGTGCTATACAGACTGAGATACTGACACCATCATAAAATAAACCACACAGAAGGAAATTCACAGAATGTGATTATGAAAGAAAAACAAAGCTAACAACAGTATACTGCAAAAACAGTCAGTAGGCAGGTGTTGGACTTATAGTGTAAAGGTGAAGAAACTGATTTGTGATACAAACTAATTCCATATTCAGTGCAAACTGACCACATTAAATGTCATCACGTGTATGTAGACGGTGTTTGGATTGGTAATTGGATTTATTGAACACTTGCAGATTGTAACTACAAGTAACTATAGTGCTATCACTAATTCACAAACTCTGCAGTTCACTACAGCACATACTAAGTCTTCTTAGCCTGCTGTGTCTTCCCCAATTTTCCAATGGCAGACACTCCCCTTCCTCTAGGGTCTTGGAATGTCTTGGCGCCTCAGCTGCCAGCTTCTAACAGCAACAGCAAATAAGGACTGAACTGCAGCAGTCCTCTAATTCATTCAATCATTCACCAACCAATCAACTCACTCCACTCCACTCCACTGACTGACTGAACTGAAATTAACACATCATTATCCTGCTTATAGTTGTAATATCTTGGCACAGACTTCACAGAAAACACCATTCCTCTGTTTACAGACCGCTGCCGAGCAGTGGCCACTGTACAGTCGCTTATCTCACAGTCCATGCCTAGCAATGGGTCTACATGACACAATATTGTCACATATTCATGACTAGACATGGGGTTTGGACTGATAACTGAATTTATTGAATATTTGTGACTTGTAACTACAAATAATTATAACACTCACTAATCTACACACTCCACAAATCACTACAGCACACAGTCTTCTCAGTCTGTTAAATCCTTAATTGCTTGGTAGCGGCTTCGAACAGTGGAAATTCCTCTACTTCTATGCTCACAGTGGTTAGAGCTGACTCACAACTGACTGACTCGGTTTTTGATAAATTGCTGCTGGCCTTCACTAGCAGTCATTATTGATTCTGGGCCCCACGGGATCCATAACCATATTTTTCTGTTTCCCAACTCTTGACTGACTCATGAGATTAATTTTTTTTAATTCGCTTAGTGGAGGGTGGAGTCCAACTGGGTCCACTTGGCACAGCGGCCACTGATTGGCCTATTGTACCTGCCCTGGGTGATTATGATGATGGAGAATTTGGTGGAATGAAGATTGGCAGGGGAAACCAAAGTACTCGGAGAAATCCTGCCCCAGTGCCACTTTGTCCACCACAAATCCCACGTGACCAGACCCGGGATCGAACCCGGGCCACTGCGGTGGGAAGATAGCGACGACTAACCACTTGAGCTGTGGCGCGGCCGAGTCATGAGATTACTACCACTGGCTGAGTTCAGTTGGTCAGTTGAATAAATTTCCGCTGGCCCTTGCCACCACAGTCATTCTTGGTTTCAAGACCCATTGGACTCATGGACATGTTTTACTGTCTCACAACTCTGCAAGTTGTGCAGCTCTCTTGAATGACTTGGTCCTGATGTCCTCATTATATAGCCTAATCATGGACCATATAGAAAACAATCATTTCCAACAGTTCTTCTATTGTTCCGTGTGTATCCATTGCCATAGGAACGTGTTTAGTGAGTCGTTGCCTAGCAATGGCCATCGCCTGTTGCTCTGGCCCTCAGGTGTCGTGTCGCAGTATATTTGTCTGCATTGTTAATGAAACACAATACGTTTGAGTCTAATGTCAGAAGTTTTTGCACTATCTTTAACCCTTTGACACGGTAATTTAAATTCCGCGGCTGCGTCTCNGAATGTTTTTAAAGTGTTGGCCACAAGATGCTAAATCATGTAAAACTATTATAAAAGGTCAACTACGTCCAGTGTGACTGATATTTTTTTTCTTTCTCCCTTTTAATCTTTCATCCTTGACATGTTTCTGTCTTAAGAGCCCATCTTCAGAAGGATATATCAGTTAGGCAGAAACTACTATTCCATTGTGTTTGATCAATATCAACACAATGTCATGAATATAAAATCCGATCCTTTAACAACTACAGTGGTGTGCATGAATACATTAAAATATTTATAAATTATTATACTTAGTCTGTTTACAAGTGTGGTTTAAAAAAGATTCTGTTAAAATTCTTTGCAGAACCAATTTGGTTCATGTCCTTTATATTGCCTCTCTTTAAAGGAAGTTGAGTGTCTACCACCTTGTGGTTCCATCATTTGATAAATAGCACTCTTTAGTGTCCTGTTGTTTGGGCCGAAACATGTCAAGGATGAAAGATTAAAAAGGAGAGGATGAAAAAAATATTTTTTCAGTCACGCTGGATGCAGTGGATAACCTTTTATAATACTGCTGGTGTGACGGACCAAGATGAACCAAATCACATGTAAAACTAGTCACTGCATAGTGTTGTTGTAAATTCATCTAAACACAACAAAATGATCATACATTGGAACTTGATCACTGAAAATGAAACGGTAAGAGAGGTTGAAAAGCATATACAGTACTAACTAACCTTTACTCATCATCACTTTCCCTCATAGGAAAAGGCATACTATTCACTGTAAGCTTTGAATTGTTTCTAAAGCATGTGGAAGAACTAGGTTCCAAGAGAACAAACAAGAATTATCAAGAAATGTAAGTTCCGTCACAGTATTCACAAAAGCCACGTTGAAGCCATGTGCAACATTTCACAGTGTGCTAGTTTTACAGTCAGGTGCTGCAACCCCCACCCCCACACACCAAATTCTAAAACTGGAGGGGCACCCCATGCCAGCTGTCCATGACTTCAGAATATTTACAGCTACCCTTCATATTTGGAGGCTACTTTCTCCATGTGCAACCTGAGGATGTAGCTAAAAAAAATCTACTTTTAATGCCAATCTTTGAATGAAGTTTTACGAACAGGAACAAGCTGCATTGACATTTGTACTAGCTGTAAAGTAAGAAAAAAAAATAGATATAAACTATGCTTAGTCTTCTGCAGTTCTGAAGTAATTAATCTGTAGAATGTGTTTCTCTGTTTCAGGGAATGTTTAACCCAGATGATTTTAAATAAACTTCACACAAGCCAGGCTTCCTTTTTTAATATATGTAAACTACTGCCAGGTACACATCTGGGCAATAGATATTGCCCTTTGTAAATGGTGGTTGTAACATAAATATGGACTAGGTAATGTACAGTAGTGTATGTTTTGATGTGGTGTTGGAATAATGTGTATATAATTGCGTGTATTATATTGAGAATTGCAATATTTTCTTTCGGGTTCTATTAGAGAATTCCACGAGTCTTCATTCCACCGTGTTTGTAAAACAGATTTTATTGAGCACAAAAATGTTAAAATTCACATACAGTGTGAATTTCTTATAATTCTAGAACCATAAAAATAAATTGTTTCAACAACAGAGAAAAATAGATTGTGATATCCCATTCATTACACATGTTAGTACGTATTTAAGGCTTTATAAAACATGGACACATCAATTATCAGGACACACAATATTTCATGTTTCTATCATGACATTTACTACAGTCAACATAATATACCCGTGCAGTTCGAAGGTGTGGGTAGTAAAGTTATTGCAATGTGAATTTTTTGTCAGTTCCTTAAACAGTGTAAAATTGTAGCACATGTAACAAACTGGAAAATCAAACTTTAAATACTGTATATCAAGAACATCAATGTAAAAAACAGTAAATTCACAGAGTGAATAAGATTTAAAAGCAATAGTAATACCAAATGTGCTGTAAACAACAGACATACAGAAGTCTCCCATTGTATTTGGTGAGGGTGGGACAGTAAGACTACATTATATCTGTAAAAGACATTAGGGGAGCCACAGGGTAGCACAGTCGGTATAGCGACCAGATACAGGTTCAACAACCCAGGGGCCAGAGTTCAAATCCCGGTAGAGTCAAGAATTTTCTCTTCCTCACGTTGTCCAGACCGCCTCTGGGGCTCACCTGGCCTTCTGTCCAGTGGGTACCAGAGGGCAAAGTGGCAGGGGTGTGACACTGAGCACTCACATCCAACTAGTACCAAGGTCAAGAAAACATGGATCTCTACATCCACTACCCCATATGCCTTCATGACATAGTGCTTAATTAGTTAAGCACAGGGACTTCACCTTTTTTTTTTAAAAGGCATCATCCTGTCTCTGTCAGTGCCTCTTGCTGGTCTTACCTGGATATTATATACAGGATGCTACAGTATTAAACATATAATTTGGAATATCATATTTAGATGCAGATATATGGGTAATGCAATGTATTACAATACCCTAACATATGGTGAAGTAATATCATGAAATATGGCAATAAATAACACTCTTCTTTCAGGTAAAATTGAAGTACAACAGAAATGTGACTTAATGATCATGACGTTAACTTTTTATGATTACTGAAACTGATTTTTAAGTTTATTTTCATATCTGTATGCATGGGGACCAAATTCTTATTTATGTTTTGTGCACTGAGACCTTGGTCCCACATATCATGTACACAGACTACTTAAAGTTCAAAATGTAGTGAGGTTTTGAAGCCTTGGACTTGACATTAACATTGAAACCTGTGAACTGCACTTTACCCAGGACTATATGTGAGTAAAGCCATCAGTAAAACTAGTCTGAAACATATTTGGGACCATGTCATACCACAAGTAGTCCACCTTATATAAAGAAACTCCTCTGTGCACATTATCTCTGGTGTGGAGATTGTAACCCCAATATATGTTCAAAATACGTAGGGCAGTCAAAAAGTTCCCAGAATTCCCCTGCAGATGGAGAACGAGTGATAAGATAGTGCACACACTGCTGTGGTGGGAAGATCAGCATGTCTGCTCACAGACATAACAGGTCTGGACAGGTTTAAGTGTGCAGTGTCATTACTGTTCCGTTTGAATTAGACGTGAGTGTTGGTCATTCGGCGCAATGTCGCAGTTCGAACAGCGTATGAATATTAAGTTCATGTGCAAATTGGGAAAATCTGCTTCAGACGCAATCGGCCCTGCAGCAAGTTTACGGTGATACTGCACTAAAGAAATCCGCAGTTCACGGCTGGTTTCCCCAGTTCAAGAATGGGCAGGAGAGGATGACCAGCACAGTGGGAGACCGTTGACATCCAGAACTGAAGAAATGATTGGAAAAGTGCGACATCTGATTCAATGTGATCAAAGAATGACCATCGCGGAGTTGGAGCAAGAAGTTGGTACTGTTACTGGCCATTTCTATGTGCACGTTTTGCAGAGGGTGCGCGATGCGGTTCAGAGGAAGTGGCACAAGTGGCAGGGACAGCGGTTTCTGCATCACGATAACGCACTGAGCCACACATCACTTGTTGTGCAGCAATTTCTGGCTGAGAAGAACATTCCTGTCATCACTCAACCACCGTATTCTCTGGATCTTGCTCCGAGTGACTTTTGGCTGTTCCCTACTCTGAAAATGGGTCTCAAGGGGACACGTTTCGCAACCATGGAGGACATCAAATTGAATGCAATGGCCGAGCTCTGGAAGATTCCAAAAGAAGCCTTCCACCGCTGCTTCCAACAATGGCAGGATCGATGGAGCAAGTTTGTGCGCGCACAAGGATCTTACTTTGAATGTGATTAGGTAAGCGTTGCCATATGTCCTACCATTAGAGTGCTATACCACCATTCCAGGAACTTTTGACTGCCCCTCGTATAAAATAGCAACTTTCTAATGATGACTTATTCTATTTCACCATTTGATGATGAAGTCTCAAAGACACAATAACAAATGGAAGGGTCCTGGACCTAATGAAATTCATAAGGTTTGGTATAAAAAATTAAACTTCCATCCACACTGCTTTAGCCTAAATGTCATCCTTTAAACACCAATAATCATACCAGTGGCCAAATATTACTTAAAGATATCACAGTAATTCACATCCATGATAGCAAAGATCCATGGCCAGCTAAGTGACAATAAAGTGATGTCCCAGGAACAGAGAGGGCATTATAAAATTCTCAAGAACGTAAGGATCGGGTATTACTGATTCATTATTGCAAATCAACTTGTTACTCTCTGCACTCCATGAGCCAATTAGAATGTATTTGGTATACTCACATTAAAACTACCACAGCTGGAGAGACCAGCTAACAATAAAGCCAATGAGCTAGCCAAGCATAGCATCAGACATGGGAGGGATAGCCAAACCCCTATTCCAGCCAAAGACATGAAAAGACTCTGGAGGAAAAAATCCAAAGAGGAATCTCAGCTGTGGCACCAGGAGGTGGGACAGGTCAGGGGACGGCAATACTTTATGTTGTTCCTTGATAAAGGCCCCAACCTCTGGTTTACAAAATGCAAACTGAACAGAAGAGCGGTGACCTCAATCTGCCATCTCTGAAGTGGCCACAGAGCCCTGGCGCATAGTCTAGCACGTTTTAATATCGTGCCATATGCGAAACATCTGACGAAACCCCAGACCACATCTATTGGCAATGTCAAAGATTCACAAAAGAAAGGAAGAACCTTACCAAAGGATTGCTAAAAAGATGGAACACGCTTCCCCTGAAAGTGGACATGATTCTAATCAACATGAACCCAAGTGATGTTAACATACTTGGATCCTTCATCAGTGCAGCTAAGATAAGAATGTAAAATGCGCATGAACTTACACCAACCACCATTGGCAACAAGGAGAGTCCAGGCCAAAGCACAAACATAGTCAAATAAGAAGCCAAAACAGGAGCCACTACTTTAATATAAAAATAAAAAGAATAACCACTGAAACTGTACCAAGCTTAATAGAGTTTCACCTCTAAAGCTCACGATAGTCTAGCTCTGTACTTTAACTAGTCCAGTCCTGTCTTTATATATAAAAAAAAAAACAGAAAGGAACAGGCTTTCACACCTGTGATAGTTTGAAGGTCATCTTTGAAATTATTGTGGGGTTTCCTGTGTAACTACATTTACTGCTCAGCAGTCTAGGCAGTCAAAGGGTTAATAAAGAAAAGAATTTCAGATGGCCTCTATAGACAATAAGAAAGCTTTGGATTTTGTATGTGATGATAACCTTACATATGTGGATATCTACAAGATTTGCTATCTTATTATATCAACTTTTTCAAGTATACTGTATCACAGTGGTTAACAGTTCTCTTCTTATCTGATGGGAAGGAAATGAGTTAATCCAGGATCCTGAAAATAAGAATATGTATCCTTCAAGGCCATCATCCACTGAGTGCTCTCTGGTCTTGCACTCACCAAAACTGTAATTCAGCTGTATACTGAATGATATAAATTATAGATTCAATATTAAATTCCCTAATTTAGAAAACTATAAAATCAGTTCTCACTTTTATGTGGATCTCAAGTGGTATCCAATTTCAGAGGAGCAACTTGCAAATTTCTGAATATAATTACAAAGTGCAGCAAATCTATTCAAATTAACTTTACAATATGTAAAGGTAAGCTGGTACAATATGAGGAAGGACATTAATGAAGACTAATGTATATACAGTATTTACACTGAAAAATAATGAGATGAATGAAGACTTAATAGACATACACAACTTTGTACCTTAGATTTCTGCAGATATGCAGTATCAATCACAGTAAGATTAAGAATATGCTGAAAGCTGTTTTACAATGCAGAATTAATATTGCACTAAAGATTTGGCTGAACATAAATAAAACCAGAGCAATGAACACAAACACTATCTCTATTTCAGCATACTCATGTGGGATCATAAAATGGTTAAATAGACAACTTGCTAGAATTATACATGTTAGCATGACTCAGTACTGTGTGCTTGCCCTACAGCACATTACTTTATCAGCAGAACATGGTGGAATTGGCACTGTGGATATATCATGTCTCAGATATTGCCAAATAACCTGAGACAGTACTTTTACAAGGTAAAGAAAACCAGATGTTTGAATTTGTCTGTAAAGCTGATACAGGGTTTACACCATTACAGATATGTGATCCTGTTATAAAATGAGGATCACTCCGGTAAGAATGAAATACAGTTCATGAAACAAAGTACATGAGGATCATCATCAGCTGATCAAGAGACAGTTGATAAAAATATTTGTAATGAATGGCTAAAAGGGACACCTCAACACAATTTGCCCTAACGATCTAAGACTGAGTCATCTCCACTAAGAACTACAGGAAGTGCTTATTAAAAGAAATGCTGGTAGATGATTGTAAGAGGTAAGGGATGTAGCAGAAGTTAAAAATTTATCCAGGATCATAGTGCAACAGAAGTCTGAGGAAGACTTGTGACAAGCAGAGAAAGCAATTTTTTTATTGCTATAAAGTATATCATAAGACAAAGAGGAACTTCAAGAAACAGCTGGAAGATGTTAATGACCAAGATGATTTTATTATGCAGGAATGTATTAAAGCAAGAGAGGTGCAACTGTAGTTGATTAAATATGAATTTAAGTTTAATTGCATTTTCCTGCAAATGATACTATTGGGTATATGATGTAAATTTATCTGAAAATATATTGAAGCTGGGAAGCTGAATATTTGTACACATGGTACCATGTACAGACCTTCTTCATATCTAAGAAGCTTTTCAGATCACTCCCGCTGCAGAAGAGAAATTTCCGTGTTATCAGGACAGCAAACAGGAGACAGTACACTATAATGTACATCAACATATGAAGAAATAATTTCTGCATACTTCAAATATATATCAGCAAGATAAAGGACATAAAATTAATTATAATTGATCTGCATTTACCTGCAAGGACTATACCTCGAAAACCACTAAAAAATATAAGATTTTACTGTATTATATTCACAGTAAGCAAATTGCTTAATGACTTTTATGCACAATTAAACACCCAGCAAAATTCTGTTGAAACATGGGGTGAAGTGAACATTTTCATAAATAGATTAAAATATATTTCTGTCAGATTTTGTCTGACTTCCCAGGAACATTTAAAATACAATTACTGATGTCCTCAGTATTAAAAACTTGATGGAGGAAAAATTATTACATGATTGTGGTTCCATCATGTAACAACACCTCAACCAAAATAAATAAAGAATAAGTATAAAAGAAATAAGCAGATCTATCAAAGAGGATTCTGAGAAAAATTTACCTAAATTTAAGTAAATAAAAGCTGCTGAGTAGGGTATTCCAGATCCACATAGGTAATGGCTTAGTGGCTCATAGTTTTAAAAGTATTATTTCATAAAGTCTGGGCAATTCATCTTGCAAACTCTGATTTTAAGAAGTCACACCGCACAATATTCTACTTCTTTAGCAGCTTTCCTAAATCTCAACTTTGTGTCAATATACTGGTTGTAATATCCACGATACTTCTTTTAGCATTGTTGCCGATCTCTCTCTCTCCCTCACAATCTTTCATTTTCAATTTCTTGCCAGTTTTTTCCTTTCTTCTCACTCCTTTCCAATACCTGGCTAAACCACAGGTCTCTGTTCTTTATATCTACTACCCCACTTGGTATCCTTGTTCTGTCCATCCTTTGCAGACGGCCAAACTGTTGTAATCATTTCTCCTCTGTGTTAACAAATCTTGAACTCCAACACTTTCTTGAAGAATTTATTTTCTGATTCTATACACTCTTGTTTTTCCCTTGATACTTCTAAATTTTCCATATCCATTGCTTCGATTTTGGTTCTCCAGAAGTGTCCACATATGTTCGTACAGATTTAAAGTATACTTTATGAATTGCTGTTTTGCTCCATTTTAAGACTTTGTTACATGTTTATTTTTAGTGTGATAAAATTCAGAACTGTTTTGTATTCTTCTACTGATCTCTATGTTGATTCTCCCTTTTGACTTTACTTCACTACCCAAACAAATACATAAATAAATTTGTCCACTTCATTAGTAATCAGTAATACTGGTAAGATTTGAACATTACTGACATAAGAATTAAGGAATATGAGAATATATCAGTCAGTCACTATAAATAAAGCAGACTTCCTTCAAATGCCACATTGTTGGTTGCCCTTTTCATAATGCATAGATAAAATATTGACCCAATATACAAGTCACACAAGAATTTCTGAAAACATTTAAGAATAAAACATGTCCTTTGTTAGGGGCAGATCTTGTCATCATTTTATCTTAGAGCACTTGGAAACCAAGAATAAATACTGATCCAAAATAAATAAGCATTCAAAAATAGATGTGTCAAGAGTAAATAACACTAGATAGTACACTCATTTTATGTCTGCTGTACAACACTTAAAAATATATGTAATTACATATCTCAACATTTGAGCATAATACTCGCTTTATACTGAGCTGTAGTATAATTGTGGATTCAGTATCTGTCAACATCAAAACACAGACATATACCTGGTTACATATGTGAGTATTGTGTGGAGCAACTGTTGTACATCTGTTACTGTTCAGATGACCTGAAACTGAGCAAGTTGCTGTCTTAATTTATAGTCTTCACAATATATCATCACATAAACTTAATTTATGTAAGATACAGTCAGCTTCATGACATGCTTTGGTCAGATAACCACCATCAGGTGAAATTAACACATAAAGCTAAACGGAACTACTGAAACTGTATGCTGAGCATACCTCATGATAGTCGTGTGACAAATATTTTGTGAAACTGTTGAGTTTTACACAAACAAGATGCAACATTATACATAACTGCTGGTTTAATACTATAAAAATACAGCAATACCTTGCATAGTCCAGATTCACTATAGTCCGGTTGGAAAATTTCAAATAAAACTAAATTTTAATTGAGCAAAATAAAAATAAATTCTAAAATAATACACAAAATTATTTTTAATACATAAATGATCAGTTTCTCCCCCTTTATACAGTCAAGTCTCTTTATGTGGTTTTAAAGTTATGCGATACGATACATATTTCAATTTTTTCTTGGGTTCCCCATTGTATATGTATGTACCTATGCTCGGGTCGTTCGTTCTTGAGCCCTGACAGCTATCGCTGGAGGAGGTGGAGAGAGCACTACTTTAACAGAATTTTGGAAGAACTACAACATTGGAAACGTTATCGAAAATATAGGCGAAGCATGGCATGAGTTAACGGCAAGCAATATGGGGGCAGCATGGAAACATATCATACCACATTGTGAAAATGATTTCATTGGTTTTGAAACTAATTTTGCTGAAATCACTAATAACATAGTGGAAATTGGACAGCAACTTGGTTTCAGTGAGTTAGATTCCGTCAACATAATTGAGTGCATCAAATCAAACACTAATGAACTACATAATGAAACACTTATTAACACAGACGAACAACGGGCTTATGAAGAATGGGAGGACAACTTAGAAAACGACAACTGTGTTGAAGTGCCTGCATGAGAATTAACAGCTGAACAACTATCAAATTACAGGAATGGTTGAAATCTTGTCAGAGCATATTATGGAAGCTGATATCAATATTGAACGTAGCCTTACAATTCGTCAAATGATAAACAATGCAATTCGTTGCTACAAAGAAATGTATGAAGAGAAAAGGTCAAAGAATAAAAATGTGCAGACATCAATATTACAATTTTTAGAGAATAAAAAATGAATTGCGAAAAACATGAATTTTTTAAAATTATTTCTAATAAAAACATTTGAATTTATTAATCGTGTTTTATTTATTGAAAAACGGAGATTTTTTTGGAACAAATTACCATTTTGTGTATGTATTTAGTTCCTCAATTGGTCTAGTTTCAAACTGTCCAGGATATTGGCAGAACCAATTACCCAGACTCTGCGAGGTATTGCTGTATTGTAAATTAAAAATAAATTTGTTTTTATACTTTCTCTAAGGGGCACACAGTAGCATAGTTGGTTAAGGCACTATGCTACAAGCTGGAGGTCGCAGGATCAAATCCTGATGAGGTCACTGGATTTTCAATTGACGTAATATTTCCAGCTGCACTATGGCCCTGGGGTCGACTCAGTATCTAACAGAAATGAGTACCAGGAATTTTCCTAGGGGTAAAGGGTGGCCGGCATGTAAGGCTAACAATCTTACTGCCATCTATGAGCTGACTGTCTAGAAGATGTGGGAGCCTTGATCTCTTACACCCATATGGGCTTCATGGCCTGTGACAGGGACAGCTTTACTTTTACCTTACTTTCTCTTAAGAATTTCTGTGAAACATCAGTTTCACACATATCCAGGACTAGAGTGAAATACTCTAAAAAATGGTAGATCAGTTTCATTCAAACATAGATAGTTAAGGCGTAAACAGACTTTATTAAGTATTTTGAAAGGGTGTTCACTACATGATTATAGGTTATCAGAGCCAAAAACTGAACAAGTGCTGTAAGAGTGAGTGTCTACTTGCAGCAATGATTGTCCAAAAAACTGTGATTGCTACATGTTCCACCCATCTCAAGTTTCAAATTGGTTATTTAAAGATTCTCTCAGTATTGAGACTATATAGCATCGGATCATAGCATGATTACTGAATCTGGAGCAGTTGATGGAAGAATAATTATTAGGGGAAATCAAAGTACTTGGAGAAAACCTGCTCCAGTTCTGCTTTGTCCACCATAGATCCCACATAAGCTGACCTGGGATCAAATCCAGGCTGCCGCAGTGGGAAGCTAACAACTAACAGCCTGAACTACAGCATGGAATAACCACCCATTCCATCCTTGATTTAATTATCCTAATAACTGGTGTAGAGTACAAATTATAAAAGTCCCTCATTATGTAAAGGGCACATGGTGGCATAGTTAGTTGAGGCACTATGCTACAAGCTGAAAAGTCCCAATGAGGTCACTGGATTTTTCAATTGACCTAATTCTTCCACCTGCACTATGGCCCTGGGGTTGACTCAGCCTCTAACAGAAATGAGTACCAATAATCTTACTGGGGGTAAAGGGTGGCTGGCACATAATGCTCACAACCTTACTGCCATCTGTGAGCCGAATGGCTAGAAAATGTGGGAGCTTCAACATCTCACAACCCCATGGGCCTCCACAGCCTGTTTACAGGGACAGCTTTACCTTTTACCTCATGATGTAATTTTCTCCAGTCACCGTCACTTCCTTTTAGATCAAAATTTTCTCCTCAGCATTATCTTAAACGCCCTCTTTCCACGTTTATCTCTTAATATCAGGCAGAAAATTTCACACCCATTCAAAACAACAGCTAAAACTATAGTTCTGTATGTTATAACTCTTCCATTTTTAGACAGTCAGTGGCAAGACAAGATATCCTAAACTGAATTACAGCAAACATTGCCAAAGTTTAATGTGCTTTTAGTTCTATCATGAATGCAGTATTCATTTCTCACCGGCTGTTCCCACATGTTTGAACTCTGGCCCATTCTTGTTGGATTTATTCACTGTCTTTATAGATCATTATGTTCTGCATTCCAGTGATGAGACATTAACAAATACTTAGTCTCTCTGTAAGTTTTGAAGTTTTCACGGCGATGACTATGAAGAATGTCGTCTTCTGGGTTTAGGCGCCGTGTATTCTTCGTTTTGGCCGACGTTTCTAACTTCATGCTTTCCTTCTCCAGTTGCGGGTGTGGCTTATCTAATCTCCCGTTCCTTGCTGTAGTTATGCTAGCAGCCTTCGCTTCCGTGAAACTCATATCTGCATAGGGTGTTTCCTCGTCAGCAGTCCCTTTAACAATACTAGCCTCTGCCAATTCTGTTTCTTTGTTCTCAACAGCCCCTTCGGGTTCAAACTTACAACTCTGCCTCTCCCCTTCCCTTACATACTCCAACGCCTCAACATCAAAACACAATTGCATCTTATATTCTTTCAAAAAATTACATCCCACTATCAGTTCATTAGTAAGTAGTGGGGAAACTAAAAACACGGCCAAAGTTGTCATTCCCTACATTAAATTCCAGCAAAGTTTGTAACTTGATTTTCTTGGATCGTTTCCCAAAAGCAGTTACTAAACTAACCCCTTGCACTGGCAGCGTCAATAAATTCACAAGCTTCTTGTGATATTAGGTTAATCTCACTTTCGGAGTCTATAATTGCCATCATTGTCAAGTCATTGCCAAATTTAACCCTAATCAGGGGACTCTTACTCAAGGCTTCCTCATTTATAAACAATACCATAGACTCGTAACTTCCTTCTTCATTGCTTTCTTCATCCCTTATCGCTAAATTATCTGGTGGACCTAAATTTCTTTGTTCACTAATGACAAAAACTATTCGGTCCTCAAGATTTCCCACGGCGCCTAAACCCAGAAGACGACTTTCTTCATACTTAGTCTCTCTGTTTTAACTTCTAAATTAACCTCTTTAACTGAAGCTACAACAGTCAAATATTATATATTAAATTATGTGCACAGTACAAACTGTTATAAAAAATACTGCACATGACATATCAAACTGTCATTGTACTTAAGACAGAATGTTGTTTCATGAAGTAAATTTGAAACAGAGCTTCTTGGAACAAAATTTCTACACTACATGAAGAACATCTGTTATGGACATGAATTAGTACAAGTTTCTAACGTTCTATAATCTATGCTGAGAATAACAGTGTACCACTCACCAAGTGTAGCAAACTGCTTCAAAGAAAGAGAGTCTGGCCAGAGAATGTGCTTGCATCAGAGAGGATAAGGCTTGATACCAGGTCAGCCAATCGTCTATCTTCCCCAGGAGTCAGACAATGAATAACAACAACTCCCTTTTGCAACTTTTCATAGTGTTTCGCCATATTTCGTCCACTTCTATGCAGATCATACACTGACATACTTTGCATGCCATCTGCACTTGTGTGTTCTATCACATGGATTATTAGACCCTAGGGATAAAGCAAATTAAATTTGTGTTACTAACTTCATGCTCATTGTTATTCGGACAAAAACATGTATCTGGCTATGAAGTTCAAAGCAACCTTATGAATTAGTCAGGGCCAGATTTACAGTTGTAGGAGCCCTGGAGCAATCAAAATGTGTCAGTAACAACATATTTAATAAAATCTTGGACTATCAGCCATGTTAACTGGTTCAAAATTACCAACATTTCAGGAACCATTTGTCCCCATCATCAGGGTCTTGCATAACCCCCTGATGATGGAGACACAGACGGTCTCTGAAACATCGGTAATTTTTAACCAACTGATATAGCTGATAGCCTGAGAAAATTTCATCAACTTAATGCACTGCAAAAGCTTCAGAACTTACATCAACACATTTAAGTTAAGACAGTTACATATATACACACACACACACACACACACAATGGTCGTACTGAAAGTCATGAGCAACAATTTTTTGTAATGTAACATGCTTTATTATTGACAAATCAAATACACAACCTCAATCTACAGACCTTTCTTTATTTTTCCACATAATCGCCACTTCTTTGTGCACATTTCTCCCAGCGTTCCGGGAGTCTGAAAATTCCCCTTCTGTAAAATTCTGTTCCAACCATCCGAAGATACTGATGCACTGCTTTCTGAATTGCCTCCCTTGTCTCAAAACGTTGTCAGTGCAGCTGATCCTTCACAAATCCGAAAAGATGGTAGTCAGAGGGTGCCAGATCAGGGCTATAGGAGGGGTGTGGTAGAAGTTCGCCCCCCCCATCTTCTGATGCTTCTGATGTGAGGCGAGCATCGTCATGCAGGATGATGATGTTTCGTTCCGGGCGTTTATCGTGCAATGCACGATGGAGCTTCTGCAGCATCTGGACACAACGAGCAACATTGATGGTTTGCCCAGATTTCAGGAATTCGGCCAGAATAAACCCCTCTGCATCCCAGAAGACTGTGCCCATCACCTTCGCAGCTGATGGCACTGTTTTTCCCTTCTTTTTTGATGGAGAATGCAAATGGTGCCATTTCATATTCCATATTCTGCCGTTTCGTTTCAGGCTTGAAATGGTGAAACCAGCTTTCGTCACCTGTCACAATACAGAGCAAAAAATCATCGCCCTCATGTCGATATCTCTGTAGCAGTTCTGAGGTGATGGCTTTTCACTGACCTTTGTGGTCTTCGGTCAATAACCGCGGGACCCAACAAGCACAAACTTTCCTATAACCCAAACTTTCAGTCATCTCCTGTACTGCACTGTGCCCTATTCCAAGTTTTTGGGCTATTGTGTCCACAGTCATGCGCCTGTCATCTTGAATGATCTCATCCACTCTATCCTTCTTGCATTCAGTTGAGGCTGTTTGAGGACGACCGCTCCGAGGTTCATCTTCGATGCTGGTGTTCCCATCTTTAAAATGTTTCGCCCATCTTCGAACACTGCTTGCACCCATGCACACACTTCCATAAGCACACTGAAGTCTCTGGTGAATTTCTGCAGCAGGGATTTCCTCTTTCACAAGAAATTCGATGAGAGCACACTGGCGAAATGACATATCGTTATCGGCCATTTTGTTTGGAGTGATACTGGTCACATGATGCAAGTTACTGACGTCACAAGACACTCAAGGTTAACAAAACAGCTGATTCCACCTACCACTGTATTCTCTTTCGTCTGCTGTTCCCAGGTTGCATGCAAAAAAAAGTTGCTCATGACTTTCGGTACGACCTTCGTATATATAAATTATCATATTAATTTTTGTCAAACACAATAATTCACCAAATAACTCACGTAGCATAGTTGGTTGAGGCACTATGCTACAAGCTGGAAGGTCGCGGGTTCAAGTCCCGATGAGGTCATTGGATCGTTTTCAATTGACCTAATCCTTCCAGCCACACTATGGCCCTGGGGTCGACTCAGCCTCTAACAGAAATGAGTACCAGGAATATTCTTGTGGCTAAAGGGTGGGCGGCACATAGGGCTGACAACCTTGCCGTCATCTATGAGCCGACTGTCTAGAAAATGTGGGAACCTCAACATCTCACAACCCTACGGGCCTCCACAGCCTGTTACAGGAATACCTTTACTTAATCACTTACAGTTTATTGTGTACAATTGAGATTTATTGGTCTAGAATACGATGTTGCTACATGTTCCAGCTCATAGAGCCATCCTCAGACAATACAATAACAAGTCTTATTACCACTGAATTGTGAATTACATATGGATCCATATATTACTCCTATATAGTGTGTTACAAAATAAAATGAAATGAAAAAAATATATGATAGAATTCAGTCACTTTTCTAATCACCTTTATATTACTTACTTATTCATGAAGCTGAGCCCTTCTGGAGGAGCCACCAATTCTGCAGCTACCCAAGAATTTCCCAGCATTTTATGGAACCCGAAGGTTCATTACTGTGTTCACAAGAGCCCTCCACTGGTCCCTATCCTGAGCCAGATATATCCAATCCATACCATCCCACCCTCTCTCTCTAAGATCCATTCTAATATTGTCCAGCCACCTGCACCTTGGTCTTCCCTGTGGTCTCTTCCCTTCTGGCTTTCCCACCAATATACTATATGCATTCCTCGTCTCTCCCGTTCGTGCTACATGACCTGCCCACCTCATCCTCCTTGACTTGATCATTCTAATTATACTTGGAGAAGAGTACAAGTTATGAAGCTCCTCATTATGCAGTTTTCTCCAACCTCCTGTCACTTCATCTCTCTTCGGTCCAAATATTCTCCTCAACACCCTGTTCTCAAAGACCCTCAGTCTTTGTTCATCCCTTAATGTCAGAGACCAAGTTTCACACCCATACAGAACCACAAGCAAAATTATAGTTTTGTATATTCTAATTTTTGTTTTTGGACAGCAGACGGGAAGACAAAAAGTTCTGGACTGAATGGTAGCCAGCATTACCCCGAGTTCAATCTCCTCTTAATTTCCTCCTGAATCAGGTTTTGATTTCTGATTTGTTATCGTCGTTCCAAAATATCGGAACTGTGCCACATTTTCAAAACATCTGCTTCCTATATTTATGTCATGATTTTGCCCTGCATTTTGGTGACAAGACAGCAACATATACTTAGTTTTCTGTGTTTACTTCTAGACCAACCTCTTTAATTGCGTCAATTAAAGTTTGTGTGTTTTTCTTTATGGTATCTACATTATCACCCAGTAGATTCACATCATCGGCAAAGACCAACAGCTGATGTGTCCTGTTTAATTTCAGTCCCACCTGGTTTCCCTGGACCTTCCTAATGGCAGGGAAAACGCACAGATTATATAGTTGCATTCTTATACTGGACCTAAAATTAGTTTAGAATCATATGTAAACAAACATTTAAATTTATTTATTATTGTGTTTGTAAGTGAAAAAGTAAAGCTATCCCTGTACCAGCCCATGAAGGCCCATTGGGTTGTGAGACGCTGAGGGTCCCACATTATCTAGACAATCACCTCAAAGATGGCGGTAAGGTTGTCAGCCTTACGTGCCAGCCATGCTTTACTTCCCACGAAAATTATTTAATTAATTCCTGGTACTCATTTCTGTTAGAGGCTGAGTGAACCCCGGGGCCATAGTGCAGCTGGAAGGATTAGGTCAACTGAAAAAAATCCAAGGACCTCATCAGGACTTGAACCCATGACCTTCCAGCTTGACAAGGATTAATATGATAATTATTATATGTAGTATAATGGAGCTGCATCCTTCCTGAGAAGCAAACAGTTGCTCAGCCACTGAAATTTTCAGCATTTTATGGAACACAAAGGTTCAATATCATGTTCACAAGAACCCACCATCCATAAAGTACATGAACTCTAAACTTGCTACTTAAAAGAAAAAAAAAAATCTTACCTGATGATCTACATCCAACATAGCTTCAAAGTCCAATAGTTGATTGTCTTGATCAATCTCATGCAGATGGAAGAAGACTACAGTATTGAAAGTTTCTCCAGAAGTCAATCTGGTTGTATCCATAGATGTTACCACACTCTTCACCATTGACACTTTAGACTCAAGGGTTTCTGTCAAGAGCTTCACGGTTTCATTCTCTTCAGAAGACATAATGCAAACTTGGTTTGTTCTCTCTGAATGAGTAATAAAAAAGGTCCTTCACAACACATAACTGTGATAAAATACTTGTATAAAAATCAAGTTAAAATTAATAATAATACTAATAATTTTCTTTATTGCTAGTGGGGTGGGACTAAGTCCCTTGCACTGCGGCCACACTTTTCACCTTAATATAATATAGCCAGAAAATTGAAAACTGAACTACAGACAAATAAAACTGGTGGCAAGATCTGTGAGGGATTAACAGTTGCAGTTTTCAAGCATTACTACAAATCCTTGCATTCAGCTTCACAGATACAACAGGTGCACATAGCACTCAGGAAGTTTCCAGTATTTTATGGGCTCTGAAAGTTCATCACCATGTTCACAAGAGCCTGCCACTGGTCTATACCCTAAGCCACACGAGTAAGTCCACACTTTCTCGTCCCATCTCTTTAAGATGCATTTTGATATTACCCCCCACATATGTCTAAATCTTCCTAGCTGTCTCTTTCCTTCAGGTTTTCTTACCAAAACTTTGAATGCATTTGTCTCCCATGCATTCTATCTGCTCTGCCTATCCCATCCTACTTATTTTGATCATTCTAATTATATTTACTGAGGAGTACAAGTTACAAAGCTCCTCATTATGTAATTTCCTCCAGTTCCCTAATACTTCTTCCCTCAGATTCAAATATTCTCTTCGCTGCCCTATTCTCAAGCATTCTAATGCTGCTATGTCCTTCCTTTAATGTAAGACATGACGGTTCACACATATATGTAATTATAGTTTTTTTTTTTTAGTAAGGCTGAACCTGTTGCCTTAAATTTCAGGCTAGAATACATAGCATCATATCCCAGAAGACAGTAATCTTCTGTCGCTGTTGAGAGAACCTCATCACAATTCAATTTCTTAATGTACTTGCCTCTCAGACAGCCAACAGCGGCATAAATATCCTTCTTGTGAGTCACCTTCCACAGGTCAGGAGGCCCCTCAATGAGTCTAGCCTGGACTCCAGTGTGAGTGAGAGCTAGTTGCAAGCATTCTGTCCCAGTGTCCAGCTCCTCGTCACTGCACTGAACACAGCATGCTATCAACATTACATAACTACCAGTAGATTATTAATTTTAAGTGAATAATTTTCCAATTCTGACTGGAATTTGAACTAAGATCTTTTGAACTCGATAAAATTGCTTTATTCGTTAAGAATGCTAAGATCATCTTCAGAAACTATTTCTCCAAAACCAATTTTAACATTATTTTATGGTTTACACAACTTGTTTTTCTACTGGTCCTTTTCCATGAGATCCTCCATCCAAAATATTATACAAACATTTCTTGTTTTCCCTATACAACAAAAAAATTCCACCCATTTCAATCTTCCTAATGTACCAAGAGAAGAATACAAATTATGACATTCTCATCTGTCATTTTCACCAATCCCCTGCTTCATCACACCCCTATATCTAAATGTTCTGCATACTTTTTTCTCAAATACCCCAAATCCCTGTTCCTCCCAAAGAATGAGACACTCACACAGAACAAGTAAGATTTCAGTCTTTAATTAGCTTCGTTATTCTGCAACCAGCCAGTTGTCAGGTCAGCAATGAAGCCGCAAGCTTAAAATCTGATAAGGACATATGCACTGCCTACTTGGGGTTAGTGCACACATCAGGAGGTGGTGATAGATTAAGTATGGAGCAATGGTTCAATGAGTAAGAGATCAGACTTGAAGAAACTTGGAGAAAAACCTGCACCAGTGCCATTTCATCCACAACAAATTCTGTCCCATCAAGTAACATCAGTAGCTGAAACTAAGCCCAATGAATTGCCTTGGCCTATACAAGCAGAGCATTCTAGAACAAACAAAATATGCACTGGCAATTCCACAGGGAAGAGAAACCCCTTTCAACAGCCAGCTGACCTGACTTGATGTATGACACTGCGAACACTTGGAAGAAGTCAAATTTAGAGACGTTCGTGTTCCATGAAAAGTAATGAGGACAAAGTTCAAATGTCCACAGTGCAATGTGGAGTCATGTGTCAGTCTTTATTTCAAGCTCTCCCACACAAAATTGCATTTCTGAAGACTGTCAGACACACATCAGAGAAAGCAGAGAACACAAATAAATAATGATACTAATGTTACTGAATAATATCTTTAAATAACACTGTACTGATAAATTAACAAGTGCAGAGGTGTGTAGACTTCGTGAAAAAGGTTAACAAGATAAGCAGAAGCATTTTTTGAAGTATGTTTACACATCTGTGTCTTAGTTTGACAATTCATAAAAACAAAGTAAGAATGGCTATTCGGAGAGAAATATAAATATTTAAAAATTTTTGTAACTATCAGGGGAATAATGAACATGAGCTTATTCTTGGGAATTTACATAATTCTTAAGGACATCATGATGTATTCTCATTAGGGCACTTACAACTACATTTCAAGGAGGGAACAATATTTCCTTTCAACCAATATAGGTACAGACAAAATCTTTAAAAAAAGTTTAAACAGTATGCAAGCAAGTAGATTCTAAAGGGTTCTGATGATGGTAACACACAGAATTACTGGGTTTTTGGACTTTGTCCATCATCTGGTATTTTAGAAACTGGAAAACACAACATTTCAGAAAATATTTCAGCCCTCAGGTGTGGGGGATAAACACCTACTCTGTTGGGTCCCTTAGAAAGACTTAACCTCAATCACTGGACAACCCCTGGCTAGGTTTATAGCATGAATTTCTACCTCCTTCTCTATCCTAGTTCCACACATGTGCGTGCCTTATCACAATTCTTATTGCAGATTTCTTGTTATCTCCCTCCAAATTAGTCTGGCCTCAGGTAATTAAAAAGCTCAGTGAATCTGACAGGGGTTCTGTTCATGTAACTAGACTGACATTGTAGCAGGAGCTACAAACTATAGGGCATGATCTGCTGTACTGAGCCTGGACTGACAGAGGCCCTCTATATGTTGTACATGGAGATCGAAAAGTCGTGGCCATCAAACTAAAAGTTGCTATATTGTACTGCAATTAATATAATTATATCTCCTACCGCTAGATGGTACTGTAGAAGTACTAACGGCTAGAAATGCCATCTGTCGTGTATCGGTCATACGATGTCTGCAGTATAGCTTTGTTTATTGCGTGACAGACATGTTGTTTTCCCAAGAATGAGTTTTCACTGTGGAACATTATTTCGCCAGTCGTTCTTATGCACGTCACAGACGAGTTTCGTCGGGAAGATCTGGATTCTGCAGTTCCTAATGATTCGACGATAACAAGAATAATCAACCGATTTCGGGAATGTGGATCAGTTTCAGATAGGAAGAGATCTGGGAGACCGGCCATTTCGACTGAGGCTAAACTGGATGACACGGAGAAAATGTTACAGCATTCCCCTTCAAAAAGCCTGAGGAAACTATCAGCGCAATCGGGGATTTCATACGGAAGTGCTCAGAAAGCGATGAAGTCACACCTTCATGCATATCGTGTTCACTGTGTGCAGGAACTGAAGGACCTGGATAAAGGAAAATGCTTAGTGTACTGTAGATGGTTTCGGACATTTGTTGGCAGCCACGGAATTGAAGAGTTTGATCGGGTTTTATTCTCTGACGAAGCATGGTTTCACCTTAGTGGCTAGGTGAACAGTCAAAACAATAGGATTTGGTCATCTTAAAATCCACGTTACATGAAAAGCCCTTGCACTGTCAGAAAATTGATGTGTGGTGTGCTGCATCACGTCGTCAAATAGTGGGCCAATTTTCTCTGAAACAACAGCGAACAGTCCAGTGTACCAAGACATAACAGTTTATTGCATTTCTTGAAATCGATGAACATGAATGCTGGCTGCAGCAAGACGGTGCCACATGTCACACATTTAATGAAACCATGCAGTTCCTGCACGAGTTTTTCGGTGACCATGTCATTTCAAAAGGATTGAGGTTCCCGCGTTCGCCCGATTTGTCACCCTCAGATTTTTTTCCTTTGGGGGTACCTCAAAGGAATTGTCTATAAAAACAATCTGCAGACACTGGATGACCTCAAGAGGAACATTACGACAGTGATAAACAGCATCAGTTTACAGGTGCTCCAGAAAGTGGCCTCAAACATGGTAAATAGAGCTCATGCGTGCACTGCTTAACAGGAAAGCCATTTCGAGCATATGTTGTAAAAATATGATTTGATTTTGCATTTCTAAGATGTAAGGGTATAAACATTAATAGTAAATGCATGTCTTGTAGTCTGTGCATTAAACCAGCAAAATATAACTGCTTAGTGTGATGTGCGCAACCTCTCGATCTCCCTGTATATCCATACATTTAATAACATGTAAAATGTAAATTGCACATACTTACAACAGACTTATTAATGTTGGCTGTGACTCTGGCAAACGATAGACCCATCCTCTCTTCAGAGAGAGTACCCCACATCAACAAACCTGCATCTGTCTGACAGTAATAAGGATCTGGTCTTAAGTTCCAAATGGGTGCTTTATTGCAAGACAGACTGGCCGACTGATGGTCGGTCATAACATGACTTTGACTCTGACAGGGGTTGTCCAGTGATTGATGTTAGCTCTTTCAAAGGGACCCAACAGAGTACATGCCTTCACCCCTCACCTGAGGACAGAAACAGATCCGGTTTCCAAAGGTTGTGTTTTCTGGTTTCTCGAATACTGGAAGATGGACAAAGTCCAAAACCCAGTAATTCTGAGTATGGAAACAACTAAAAATTTGAGCATTCACACCACTAATTCCCAGCTCCTTTTCTATTCACGGTCCTTCTGTATGACCTCACATTCAGATGCAAATTCTCACTTTCCTGACTATAGAAAATTCCACGATAAAGGATCTTTCTAGAAAAGTTAATGGTACATCAGTTGGTCAAGCAATCTTCTGAAGAATGCCATCTTCTGGGACGTGGCGCCATGTAACTCTTGTGTGAACCGATGTTTCGGAGGAACGTATCACCTCCATCATCAGGGCAGAAAAATCCGTGAGCAACGAACCAGGGTGAGCAGGTGGCTGCAGTCTGTTCACACTAGTCCCTCGCTCGCAGATTTTTCTACCCTGAAGATGGAGGACATACATTCTTTGGAAACGTTGGTTCACACAGGACTTACACAGCGCCACATCCCAGAAGACAGCATTCTTCGTAGTCGCCACCATAAAAACCTCAAATCTTACAAGAAATCTTCTGCTCTTATGGAATTAAAAGGACCATTCTCACATTTACAAAAACTCACTACTAGATACCACCCTAAGCATGCTGAATCCAGTCAACACCCCCAAATATTATCATCTAATATCGTTTTCAAAATTATTCCACCCTGTGTCATGACTATCAGGAGGTAAACCTTGTTGTAAGCAGATGTCAGAATGTCAAATTGGAAAGCTTGTGGCGTTTCGCTGGATACATGTTTGGACCTATCCAGACTGTGGTCCAGGAACCCATCTGAGTTGGTTTGAAGGACTGTGGAGACAAGGGGCCTAATGGCACCAGCTACACCATGGGCTTCTGCTGCAACCACCAATTCCTCAACCAATTCTGATGGTACAAGAGGGCGTGCAGCATCATGAACAATCACCACTTTCAAGTTGCTCTCTAGAACAAGAAAATATACTGCTGTTATAGCATCATTTAATAGACAACCAATTTTCTCTGATCACTATAAAAGTATTTATCTGACACACAGTGTGTATATGAATGTGTTGTAATTTACAGCAGCCCTGCACTACACAGCATGAGCTATCCCAGCTTGCCCTGCTGTTGTATTGGCAACAACTCATTAAGTTTTGCATCCTTACTGGTATTTTCCACACACACTCATGTCTCCCAAAGAAAGGAGACATCAGCAATATAGTTACTTGGAAGTGTAGGAGCTGTGAAGAGTAATATATAATTCATTAAAAGCATACAGACATATGTGTATTACCAGATCATGACATTATTTGTGAATTCTGATATCTGGAGTCATCTCAGGAATGTACTGCTTTCAAATACAGAGGTATGCCTGCATACAAAGAACATAACAAAAATTGCAGCAACAAAGAGAGAGTCTTGGAAAATGACATTCATGTCTGCTTCCTCAAAACATAACACAACAAATATCAGAATAAGGTACATAAAAAATTAAACATGAAATATCTCTCATAATAATTAAGTTCATATATGTTATCCATCAGCTTGAAGCTGTCTGTGAAAATTTAATATGAAAAATATTCTTACCTCCTTACTTGTTTTGCTTCTTTTTCAGACTTCAAAATATTTACATGAGTACAGCATATGACAGAAGACAGATTTGTTACTGCATTGTGAACTGTTCATCTTGTCGTTGACACTTTTAATGGCAACGTTTTTAATAATAAATGGATATTACTTGTTTTGTTGACAATTCACGTTTGAAAACACATATCACGAAATAAATGCTACACTGCCTAATAATCTGGTTTCATTTTACATTGGCTTCACTATTGTAACAGCTTATTTTTCTGTTACATTTGTTCACGTGTAGATCTATGTTCATAATCTTACCATTTCTTTGAAGTGCTTGCACCCCTGCTCGGATTGATCGATGACGTGTGTGTTCTCCCTGTACAACAGATACTTTTTCCCTGTTAGCATGTGATTCTTCAAGCAAACCTTGCACATGCTCTGGATTATCAACGACAAGTATGATCTTTTTAACCCACTGCATACGATTAAATTCTTCTAATGCATATAGAAAGAGTGGCTTCCCCTGCAGAAATAGCACATATTTTTAAGTCATGTTACTTGAAAATTGCATTTTCGCAGTACTGACAGAATGCGATATTACTCTTACCAATACTTCATAATATTGTTTAGGAACAGGAACTCCAAATCTCTCACTAAAACCTGCTGAAGGTAATATAACGCCAACACTAAAATTAATCATTTGTTAAAATGACACGCCAATAAGTAAATTTACAAAAAGTAAATAAATAAAGTTTATAAATGTTTAAAAAAGTTGTACTATAAGTAACACAACCACCATGTGTACCGCCATCGATCTCAAAACATCAAAGACGATGCACTATCGATCTGCTACAGCACCACGGGTCACTACGTTGGCTTGGATTATACATGGATATGCTATTGCATCTTAGGTATGACGCCATGCGTAGTCAATGTAGATGATGTAGATGTAGAACAATGTGGAGCATGTCGTAGTTGGACAAAGTTGGGAATTAACGGAAGTTCTTTGATTTACATGATTGCTTACCATGTCTACATCGTAGTAGAATGAATTATTACAAAGTAATGTATTTAGCCGTGGTAGAAGACATATGATTCACAGAACTGAGTCTTCAAACTTTATTTATCTGTACCATTTAAAATTCATATTTCAGCACCGGTGTGGCGTCACTAGCTCTCCGAAGGGAAAAGTTTTACAGTTTGCATTACAGTAATAACTCCCAAAGTTGCCCTTTAGCCTAAGTTGCCTTCCAGACATCGCCTTTACGTAACATGCCTTAATTATATGGAAGAATGCATGAACAGGTGACCATGCTGAAGAAAGCAGTCTTCTGGGATTTGGCACCGTGTATATGTGGTGTTAACCGACGTTTCGGAGGAACGTATCGCCTCCATCTTCAGGGTAGAAGAAAAAGTATAAGAAATCTGCAAGCGACNGTGACCATGCTGTCTGTATGTGTAACCCAATTTAAAATTTGGTATCGTTTCAACGGTTTTAAGGAAATTATTCCTCCTGCTTGGCGATGTTCCTTACTTATGTTTTCAAGTGGTCAATACTGTTTTAACTCAGAAGATTACAATACGAATCTTCACTATCATGGGAATTTAAAATTTCATAGATGACAGGCATTTATGGGCTTTATCCTCATGATGCATCAGCTGACATGCTTTGTTTAATGTGAGTCAGTAAATTTGTGTGATGATATACATATGATTGGCCAAGTTGTGGCCAAGAAAAATACACAGCAAACCAGTTATCAAAACTAAATTGACCATCTGTTTTCTTAATGTGGCATATATCATCCTGTGTAAGGAATTGTGTAAGGAATGCGCCCTAGAACTCTATGTAAATTCTGTCTGTAAAATTGCAGCAGATAATATTATTAAGAGGGTCTAGAAAACTTTTCCAGGTTAAAACCAATAACCTTGGATAACATTGACCAACTACACTACAATTCTAAAAGAATGGCCTAAAAGCACTTAAATTTCCACAAAAATGAAACTGTCATAATGCCAGTAACAATAGAAATCCCTCAAGTATTCCCATTAAACTACCATTGAAATTTCAATTTGTGGCGTTGGTCGTGGACAGAGATGTTGACTTCCTCTTACACCTTCATGAGAAAAAATCATCTTGATCCTCCACAGCAGGATATGTTAGGCAAATAAGATACCTTTAAATTGTTTTAGAAACACTACCAGCTCCCATTCACTGGCTGTCAATTCTTGTAAAATTACATGCAATAGCACAATAACTATGAAATATTACAGTGTAAGAGAGTAAACCTGATGCTCAAAATTAAAAATTTAGGATAAAAGTGGTTCAGTTGGGATCATTCCCATGTTATTCTTCTTGTTGTTGGTCATGTTTGCACTGCACCTATTATGCAATAGAATATCTTATTTTTATGTGTCTGTCCTGCACTTCTCTACTGTTTCTTTGTCACATTTTCATTAATTAACGATGCCGTAAGTATGGAGACTGCATAGCATCGATGGCATATGATTAATCAATGTGGAGCAGTTGGGAGAATGAAAATTAGCAGGGGAAACGGAACTACTTATTTTTGCTAGCTCTGTGATTGGCGCCTGCAGCTGTTGAGTTAGCACTAGAGAAACAAATAATTGAAATGTTTGTTATTGTTGTTGTTGTTGTTGTTGCTGATACTTCTGTTATCATCATCAGTGTTTGTGTAATTAGCTTTCAGCTGCTTTTAAGCACTTTAACAAATTAACTGAATCAAATTATTGCTGTTGCTATTTTTTATTACTGTATATCATTCCTTACTGATTTAACTGATGTATTTCATTAATACTTTTAGTAATCAAAACGAAATACTGATGAAGTGTAACATTTACCGACTCAAAATTAGCAAGAGCATTCAGAATGGACATCAACTGGCCACATGAGATAAGTTTTATTTTGTCACCAGGTGTTGGAGAAGAATGGAGAAGATCAGTTGGACCGATTATGTGAGAAATGAAGAAGTGTTAATTAGAGTCAGTGAGCAGAGGAATATCCTACATGAAATAAGAAAACGGAAGGCTAATTGGATTGGTCATGTTTTACGCAGAAACTGCCTTCTAAAAGAAGCTATCGAAGGAAAGATAGATGGGCGGATAGAAGTGACAAGAAGACGAGGAAGAAGACGTAAGAAGATGCTGGATGACCTTGGGGACAGAAGAGGATACTGTCATTTGAAGGAGAAAGCTCTAGATCGCATTAAGTGGAGGAATTGTTTTGAAAGAGACTGTGGACCTGTCGTCTTGACAGATTACTGATGATGATGATGAGTGCATACAGACATGACGAGGTTAATGGGTGCAGTTTACATCTACTTATTATGAATGCACCAAAATGATATAAAAGATAAATTTAATTGATAATTAAGTAACGCTTATAGCAGCAAGATCAAATATATTGTAATTAAATAAAAAGTTGTCCCTGTGTTTAACTCATTAAACACAACACCATAAAGACGTATGGGGGGAGTGAAAGTAAAGATTCTTGGCACTAGCTGGAGGTGAGCTTCACGCCCCGACGACTTTACCCGTGGGGAAAGAACCACCGGTACTCATTGAATAGGAGCCTAGGTGGGCCCCAGATCCTGTCTGAATGAATTGAAGATGACATCTTGCCCCTACCAGGGCTCGAATTCCGACCTCTCGGCAGTCCAGCCCTGTAGCCGGCCGCTATACCGTCCATACCGACTGTTCTATCTCGGCTCATTTTGACCATATAAATGAAGAGAATATAAGCCTAAGCGTTTCAGTACTTAATTATGCCATTTATTACGTTCTCTGTGATTTTTTGTGTCATGAAGAATACTGTCCTCTGGGACGTAATGCTGTGTATCCGGTAGAAGTCCACCGATGTTTCGGAGGAATGTAGTGCCTCCATCTTCAGGGTCGATGAATAGGCAAAACAAGAAACCTGACTTTTGCTGCCCAATGCCCGTAAAGCGGCTGGGAACGAATGTTTTTGCTGAAAACTCCTGTGAAAAACATGACTACCGTAATTATGATTACTGCTAAAAATAAAGGCAAACTAGCTGGAATATGAGAACAGATGAATACTGCTGTATGGAATGTAAGCGGGATAGAGGATGGAAGCTGAACACATTCCAAAACAGTTAATGAATGTACTATACAACTAAAGGAACAAGATTCATTGGGCGCCCGAAGTTACGATGGAAGGATCAATCTATCTTACAGGGGAACGGAACGGATCGCAAGGTCAATTGATGCTGATGATTTCATTACATAAATACATTTCTCAGATGCTTACATGTGCTTCTTAAATAAGTCATTCTAGAATCACCATTGAAGCATTAACCAATGTTGCAAACATTATCATTTTTCCTCTGCATAAGTTATTACCGTTTTGTAAAGTGTATTTTAAATCCTTTTTGCACATTACTTGCATATAACTTCATAAAATTAATGTGGCTGAACATCTTCTGAAAAAAAGTCATACTATGCGATAAATAAATAAGATATGTTCATAAAATGTTATGCGTAAAAATTAAATTCTTTCGAGGATGCTGATAATCAACACGTAACTTCGGATCCATCAGAAACAATCCTAACATACAAATATTTATTTTATGAGACCATTCGTTCGCGGCCCCTAAATTTTAACCTTTTAAATTTCAGTTGGTAGACAGTTATGGAATACCAGCGAAGGACTAGTACCTTAGGTAATATAAATAAGGATTCGGGCTTCAAAATCAGTTAAGTATACTACATATATAAACAGAATATTGTTTGATAATTCAAACCGGGCTTCCATCGTAGAAACCGTGAAGAGAGGGCAGGTACTGGGCAAGAGTTCGAACAGACTTGAGTAGACCTGTTAAAAAAGACTGATATATTTGTTTGAAGGTCAAAGTATGAAGGCTAACTGTTACGGAACAAAATCATATAGTTCATCGTGTGTTCACTAGTTCATTTGTTGAAATATTTATTTTCGCAGCGCTGAGGCTGCGAGGTGTTTCTTATCCTCGTTACATTTAGAAGTGTAAACATATTACAGCGATGGAAGAAATAAACCTGACAGTTAGGTCACGTCTTTATCGTTCGTTTTATAGTTTCGTGAATGAGCACAGAGCCTGCTAAACACATAAAGACAGAAAGCACCTTTTTTATCGTAGCAAATGTAAAAACACTGCAGAAGACGTAGCTCATGCGCGACTCAAGGATATACATCATAGAACATGTTTCTTTTCCTCGATATTTTTTTTTATTCTAGTGGGGTGGGACTAAGTCCCTTGTACTGCGACCACTTCTGGCCTGTTGTACCAGCCCCATATGATAGGTGAGGGTGATTGTGGAGCAATTGGTGGAGTGAAGATTGACAGGGGAAACCGAAGTAATTGGAGAAAACCTGCCCCAGCGCCACTCTATCCACCACAAATCCCACTTGACCAGACCCGGGATCGAACACAGGACGCAGCAGTGGGAAGCCAGAGACTAACCTGTTCAGTTATGGCGCGGCCCCTCCTCGATATTTAATTAAAATAATTAAACTAATTTTGATCAACATTTCAGAGTTTATAGCTGCATTTAACTTTTTTTAAGCTGTTTCCGACTAGACCATTCCCCTACGGAGAAGAGGGCTTCTTCTTGAGCATATCCACTACCACTACCACCACCACTACCACTACCACCGGGTACATCAAAAACAAAAGCAGATAGAATCAGAATAATCGCAACTATCGAGACAAACGTTTACCGATCAAGCTGTTACTGCTGTACGCTTAATATTTCCATTTCAATAGGAAACCATCTGGTTTTCATGTATGAGATCACTGTATCTAAAATTTTCTTACCTAGCTGAATCCAGACATACACTTCGAAAGGAAACGACAACAGCGTATAATACAAAGAGATCAGTTATACTGGATTTAAAGTTCCCACTACGGTGACTATAAAGAATAATATTTTCTGCAAAGTGTCTCCGTGTAGTCCAGTATAATTTCATATACTTTTGGGAGGAAAAACGGCCTCCATCTTCATGGGTTAGAGAGTAAAGCCAAGTAAGCAACAAGCTAGTCTTAACTGGTCGATTTCTTGGATTGCTCCTTGACACTAAAGATGAAGGTAGTACTTTCCTCCGAAACATCTGCGAACTTCTACTGGACTATAAGACAGCACATGCCAGAAAATAGCACTCTTATACTCAAGTATAAACATCAGAAGAAATAAAGAAAACGTGACACCATAACAATATGATGGCTCCTGGAGAATTAAAACAAATGAGGAACTAGATAATCTAATAAAAGGAAGGAACACAGTCAACTTCATCAAATCCCAAAGAATAAGTTGGCTTGGACACATCTCAAGGATGGAGGCTGGATGAACAGTTAAAAATGACTGGCAGCCACATTCCATAAGAAGGAGAGGCCGACCTAAGATTAGATGGAAAGATGACGTAAGGGAAGACCTAAAGGACTTAAGGAATTTATAACTGGATAACTCGCACACAGGACAGAAGAAGTTGGAAGGAAATTGTTGAGCAGGCCAAAGCGTTAAAAAAATGAAGCCGTTGAGTCTTATGAAGAAAAAGAAGACACCAAAACAATAAAAAAACATATCTCATATTCTTATGTCCTACGTTAGAATCACCTCCAATGAACCTCCAAAGCAGTATCAAACATCCGAACATCTGAAGCTATCAGAATACATTACATTCAGCTGCTCCACAACGGTAATCGACTAAAACGACGATTCTTGTATTTTATATGAACTGGACACATTTCATAAACAGCACTTCATCAAAACTGTCTGCTCTTCTCCCGGAATTTTCTCAAAATAAATTTAACTAAAATCATGAAAGTTCTTTTTATTTTTCCAGTGCTATGAGCCTGTTGACCAACCTTCTGATGACATAGACTCTACTGACCGATGTTACAATTATTTGATGCCATAACGTGCTTTAGTAATCGCTTGATGCATCAATTCTTGGATCCAAACTTGCACACATTTTCGCTACGTTCTGATATCGAAACATAGACACTAAAATTGATTAAAATACGATACAATTAGGCACCACGAAGAGAGAGAAATAATTTCATTTGTTTTACATTTTGCCCTGTGTTTATTCTTGGCTCAGGATAGGAACCAGTGCAGGGCTCTTGTGAACATGGTAATGAACCTTTGGTTTCCATAAAATGTTGGGAAATTCTTGAGTAGCTGCGCAACTGGTGGCTTCTCAAGAAGAGATCAGATCCATGGAGTTAGTTTATTGAACGAAAATCTGCGTCTGATCGCAAATGGCACACAGCGACAAGTGTGTTATTCTGCGCAAGCTTCTGGACCTGAGAAATATTTTGCAATGTCGTCATTATCGTCATGCTTTCAAAAATGTAATACTACTAAAATATTTCCTGTAAGGAATGTAGATAATCTGATAGGAATATAACAATGTAAAGATATGAAATGTTTCGTTCGTAGAGTCGATTCATCTATGAAGTGCTGTGGTGAGTGGTAATGAAATGTACTTATTTAAGAAGAAGAGGAATCCATAAATCCGAGATTCTCTCCGAAAGACTAAGTGTATTTCATTGCGCAACGTACAAATTTACTGCACTAATTTTTAATTGTATTCAAATTTAATTTGGGAAAATTTGGAAAATATTTTCTACTACGGGACCTGAAGCTGACCACTTACCTCTATCTAGTACAGAGGTCAAAAGTGATAGAGCTATACCTCCCCTCCCCCCGTTTGTCTTCACAATGTTGTGTTTAATTAATTAAGCACAGGAACAACTTTAACTTGTTCATGTACGCTAGCAGCTTTTGTGACTATTTTAAATCAATCTTATTACAATTACGTTCTGAACGCTTTTTGACTTGTGTGACACCATTTTACTATTGTACCATTTAACAAGAAGGGTGATGAAACTGACTGTAGTAATTATCTGCGGATATCACTGCTATCAACTTCATACAGAATTTTGTTCAACATTCATCTCTCAAGGTTAAATCCATTTTTAGATGAAATTATTGGCGATCATCAGTGTGGGTTTCGACTTAACAGATCAACTACAGATCAGATCTTTTACATTCGTCAGATATAGGAGAGAGAATAGGAGTACAATGAGACATTACATCAGCTATTCATAGACTTCAAGAAAGCCTATGATTGGGCCGAGCCATAGCTCAAGCGGTTAGTCGCTGCCTTCCCATCGCGGCGGCCCGGGTTCGATCCCGGGTCTGGTCAAGTGGGATTTGTGGTGGACAAAGTGGTGCTTGGGCAGGTTTTCTCCGAGTACTTCATTGCCCCTGCCAATCTTCATTCCACCAATTTCTCCACAATCACCCTCACCTATCATCTGGGGCTGGTACCATAGGCCATAAGTGGCCGCAGTACAAGGGACTTAGTTCCACCCCACTAGCAATAAAGAAAATCATATGATTCATTTAGGAGGGAAGTATTTTACAATATTCTGATGATTCTGATATAGTTTGGGATACCCATGAAACTAGTTAGGCTGATTGAAATGTCTTTAAACGAAACGTATAATAAAGTCCGCACAAGTAAACATTTGTCTGATAAATTTCCTATCCAGAATGGTCTAAACCAAGGAGATGCTTTATCGCCACTCCTTTTCAACTTTTCTGTAGAATATGCAATTAGGAAGGTCCAGGAAAGCAAGGTGGACTGAAATTAAACAGGGCACATCAGCTGTTGGTTTATGCCGATGATGTGAATCTACTGGGTGATAATGTAGGTACCATAAAGAAAAACACACAAAATTTAATTGACGCAAGTAAAGAGGTTGGTCTAGAAGTAAGCACAGAGAAAACTAAGTATATGTTGCTGTCTTGTCACCAAAATGCAGGGCAAAATCATGACATAAATATAGGAAACAGATGTTTTGAAAATGTGGCACAGTTCCGATATTTTGGAACGACGATAACAAATCAAATATCAAAACTGATTCAGGAGGAAATTAAGAGGAGATTGAATTCGGGTAATGTTTGCTACCACTCATTCCAGAATCTTCTGTCTTCTCGTCTGCTCTCCAAAAATATAAAAATTAGAATATACAGAACTTTAATTTTGCCTGTGGTTCTGTATGGATGTGAAACTTGGTCTCTGACGTTAAGGGATGAGGATAGACTGAGGGTATTTGAGAAAAGGGTGTTGAGGAGAATACTGTATTTGGACTTGAGAGAGAGAAAGTGACATGAGTTTGGAGAAAACTGCATAATGAGGAGCTTCATAACTTGTACTCTTCTCCAAGTATAATTAGAAAGATCAAGTCAAGGAGGATGAGGTGGGCAGGTAATGTAGCACGAAAGGGGGAGACGATGAATGCATATAAGATATTTGTGTGAAAGCCAGCAGGAAAGAGACCACTGGGAAAACCAAGGCATAAGTGGGTGGACAATATTAAAATGGATCTTAAAGAGATAGGATGCGATGGTATGGATTCGATTGATCTGGCTCAGGATAGGGACCAGTAGAGGGTTCTTGTGAAGAAACCTTCGGGTTTCATAAAATGCTGGGAAATTCTTGAGTAGCTGCAGAAATGGCGGCTCCTCAAGAAAGAATTAGCTCCATGAGTAGGTAACTAAGTAAGTAAGTAAGTAAGGACATACCATTTAAAACTAATATTTTGTACTTTATCCAAAGAGCCGGGATAGCGTAGTCAGTATAGCGACTGACTACGGACTGGATGACTGAGGGATCGGAGTTCGAGTCCCCGTAGAGTCAAGAATTTTCTCTTCTCCAATTCGTCCAGACTGGCTCTGGGGTCCACACAACCTCCTATCCAACTAGTACCGGGGCCTCTTCTCCCAAGGGTAAAACGGCCGGGGCGTGAAGCTGACCACTCACCTACAGCTAGTGCAGAGGTCAAGAAAATGTAGATTTATACATCTACTCCCCCATACGCCTTCGTGGCGTAGTGCTTAATTAGATAAGCACATGGACAACTTTACCTCACTTTGCTCATAGTTCAAGCTCATTACAAAAACTACGTTTCGGAAATTAATTCTACCTCCATCTTCTGGTGAAGAGAGAGAATATGAAAGTAAATCAGCACGGTACAGCTACCTTCAAAACGTGGTGTGCCAAAGAGCACAATAAAGCAGGGTTATTTTCGTATCCTGTTGACATGAAGACTGGAAAATAATTTCGGAAACGTAGCGGTTTCAATGAATTGGAATGATGGACGAAATAAAGAAAGAAAATACGATCTTAAATCAAAGTCCAAAACTGATATGTATGTGAAGAGTGGGAAGAACTGTATTTTTGAGGGACTTAACAATGTATTGCGAGAACTCTGGCTTAATTTGGCACAAGCCATACGAAGGACATCCCTGATAGTAATTACGCAGGTGTTTTTTTTCTGGCAGTTCACACTTGAGCAAACAAGTTCGCATTCTATATAAGGCGACGGACAGCCTGGCTTACTGCAATTGTGACTAGCTCAAGTTACGTGGAGGAGTTCCCGAACAATGGCGGTCTCCAATGCAGCTTTCCGGTTCGCTGCCGGGCTTCTCACGTTTCTGGTCTCCGGCGGGTATGTAGGATTTCAGAATATGAAAGTGCTTGAACAGACGAGGAACTTGGTCCGCCATTCTAATGGAGAAACCTCGACCTGAGATAGAGGAAACAACAGGGAATTTGAGGTTTTGGGGGCAGTGACTGTGCCTTGGATGTGACATCGTGCATTATGATAGTTTTTAATGACTTTTTTGACGGTCACGTAGCCTGCATTCTCAAAGTTCTATTTCTAGCAGGCAACGTTGGTAGACATCTGCCACAGTACATGAAATTTAATACCAGAAGACAGTAATTTTAAAGTAGCAGGGAAATTAAGAAAAATTCTTAAAGAGAAACATTTTAACTTGTACGTTTTGCGCAGAATTTTTAGGATGATGAACTCAAAAAGGAAGGTCATGTCTGTCAGTCTATCTGTGACCTAGTACCTAATATGGAAGCCCAAACTTCTAGATTTTCTTAAAATTAGATACGGGAAACTTCAGTAAAAACTGTCGGGCAATTCCAATTCTCTACCATACTGCTTCACAACAAAGCCTAGCTTATATGAGACCAGAAATGGACTCTTCAATATAAACCTTAAACTACTCCATGAATTTTGTTGGAACTCGATAAGGGAAACTTCCATCAAAAGTTGTCGGAGGCTTCGACATTCAGCCACACTGAGCCAAAAAAAAAAAAAATGTATATTATTTCTTAGTGAAAACCACCATAAAACAACAACCAATAACACGTGTAAGTATCTCTAGGAGATACTTTTGTTAAATGTTTCGGCCTTCAAAAGGCCATCATCAGGCAAATACATTAAACTTTTCGTTATTGAATTCCATGTCAAATACAGGATACAGTGCTAAACTTCCAAGTGTTTACAATAGTATAAAATGTTAAGAGTAAATATAAAATATAATATACAATAAAAGTTGAAGTCTTAAATAACCCGTTACATAGTCAAAAGTATAGTTAAAAGTTGTATATGTGATGGTATTTGGAAGCTGGCAGTTGTAATCATAATGTATGTAATGCTTATACGGACATATATACACAATGGCTGATGCGGTGTTCGGAGACCCGTTGTTATGCTGTATGTTATTATTCAATATTTGATACCTGGAAATAATATACCACTGGTAACTATTATTGAATTACTTAGTGATTGTATATGGTATTGAGTGAATTATTATAGTTATGTAGTTTACTTACTACGAGTATTTGACGGGCGACTCCGTTGTATAAATGTCCGATTTGATGGAGAGATAGATTACAACTGATTTGGGACGTATGTCTTTATGGAATGTTGTGTGGGTGAGGGGTGGGTGGTGTGGTGGATGTGGGATGGGGGTAAGGTAGTGTTTATATTTGGTGGGTAATGGTTTCTTCATTGTTTTTGTTGCTGTGTGAAAGCGGATTCATGCGATTGACGAGGAAATTTATTGCGGCTCTTTTATGTTCATGAAGCCATTATTAGAAAAATACTTAATAATAATATTTACCCCAAAATACCATACAGCAAATATCCAAACCCTCTGTAAAGAATAATACGCACAAGAAAGTTTGAACCAACTTTACCTTTTTCGGACCCTAAACTAGAACAATTAGTAAATTACAAGAATACTGAAGTTGGTATCTCATTTATAACTAGGAACAATAGCAATCACTTATTAAGAATATATGAAGATACGAATGATAAGTTTAACAAGTGATGTTTACCAATTACATTCTCCAAAATGTCCACAGAAATATATAGGACAAACTGGACGTACATTCAAAATTAATTTTAAAGAACACATAAGGGACATAAAGAACGCTGGAAAAAATTCCAAATTCGCCCAGCGCATAGTAGACACTATCCACGAATATCGAACAATAGATCAAACTATGGATATTTTGTACATCGAAAAGAAAGGACGAATCTTAGATACCCATGAAAAATTTCATATACAGTAGAACTTGGTTATAACGTCATCAAAGGGACCTAAAAATAGTGTCGTTATAAACGAATGTCGTTGTAACCGAAATGGGCACTTCCACAGTAGCCTTATGTTAGTCACGTAAAAATCTACCAAAAACCGAGTTAAAATGTTGCATTTTTTAGTGAAATACGTAGTTAAGTACAGACTAACGTAACATTAACGTGGAATTGCCCAAATGTGTAATATCAAAGGCATATTACAGCGCTTTTCACTGACAATACACACCGCACTAATACTGTATATTAAAGGTAGGCCTACTCACCAAATTACAGTAGATTACATCAATTGTTGTGCCTTACTGTACCTAGATACGAGTACAGTAATCAGTTATCTTCATCTGTTTCCTGTTACTTGCCCAGTACACACTTTCTAAATTACGTTCAATGTCCATATCAGAGAAATTCAGGAATGAAAATGACGTTACATACGAGGTTGATGCATTTGTGCATGTCGTACTAAGCAAGGTATAAAAACAGTTGCTTTATGAGGAATTAGTTCGTACCATTGAATATTTTACGCAATAGACAAGGTGTCCCAGAAACCGTTGTTGCTATAACCAAGTTTTACTGTATATGAAATCAACAAGCAAAATATCCAGTTGAACGACAATTTTACTGAAACATTTAATCCAATATTCGACATAATAATTGCAACCTACCAAATATAAACACTAACTTAACCCCATCCCAAATCCACCACACCACCCCCCTCACCCACACAACATTCCATAACGACATACGTCCCAAATCAGTTGTAATCTATCTCTCCGTCAAATTGGACATTCACACAACGGAGTCACCCGTTAAATAGTAAGTAAACTACATAACCATAATAATTCACTCAATACCATATACAATCACTAAGCAATTCAATAATAGTTACCAGTGGTATATTATTTCCAGGTATCAAATATTAAATAATAACATATAACATAACAACGGGTCTCCGAACACCGCATCAGCCATTGTGTATACAGGGTGTTTCACGACTTTAGGGCATAACTGCAGGAGGTGATTTCCTAAGTTTTTGTGATAAAAAAGTTAATATAAACATGTGTCCGATTTTGGACGGTTACGGAGTTATGACCGTTTTTTCATTCCCGTACACGCCCTCGTGTGAACCGCGTCTGTCAGCTGGCGGGTCGCTATCTTTAGCTAGCTACAGACAGAGCGTTCTCGTTATCTGGACACTTGAGAGCTACGTAAGGCGGGGTGGATTGGTATGTCCGGCGCGGTTCACAACCGAGCGGCAGCCTGTGTTGCGGCCGGCAGTGGCATTTTCGAAAATCAGCTTTAAGCACCAATAAATTCAAATTAAAGGTGATTTCACGAAGTTAACTTTACAGTCATACTTTAAATGTATCATGTATTATGCTGGTTTATTATTTTGTTCCGTTTATTGTCAGTAATCGTTACCTTCTATTCTGAGTTTAAAACGGTCATAACTCTGTAACCGTCCAAAATCGGACACATGTTTATATGAACTTTTTTGATCACAAAGACCTAGGAAATCACCTCCTGCAGTTATGCCCTAAAGTCGTGAAACACCCTGTATATGTCCGTATAAGCATTACATATGCTCGTATTACTATTACAACTGCCAACTTCAAAATACCATCACATATACAACTTTTAACTATACTTTTGACTATGTAACGAGTTATTTAAGACTTCAACTTTTATTGTAATTTATATTATATTCACTCATATCATTTTATACCATTGTATACACTTGGAAGTTTAGCACTGTATCCTATATTTGACATGCAATTCAATAACGAAAAGTTTAATGTATTTGCCTGATGATGGCCTTTTGAAGGCCGAAACATGTAGCAAAAGTATCTCCTAGAGCTACCTACACGTATTATTGTCTGTTGTTTTATGGCGGTTTTCAGTAAGAAATAATATATGATACACAACAGGATTCATAACTGAAAATTAAAGAAACAATAAAATATAGTTTACTTAAAGCCGTACATGTATTTCTGCTTGTATCCCATAAGGAGATTAACAGATTTTGCTGAAATTCGATATTGAAGGCTCACTAATCTTTAGGAAATCACAATTTTTAGGCATACTGATCTAGTGTAGAGCGTAGTTTACGTAAGGAAACAGTCTTCCCCGTGTACATCGCCGTGTAGTTTGACAGATGGGTACCAACGTTTCAAGGTAATATGATGCCTATTTCTTCAGGGTAGAAGACCATCGTGACAGTCTCAAATCTCATGAAATGATAGTCTTTTTAAAAAATGCGTAGAACTGACTCATGATGCGGATATGTGACGCCGTGTAGTCTGGTAGACATTCCTGAGAGTCTTCAATAAACTTCTACCGGACAATACGTCACGTTCCAGAATATAAATTTCGCAATCTTTATAGCAACTGCCATGATAACTCAGATTCCATTCGTACATGACAAGTAGTTTCCAGTCCGAAAATCGAACCCGGTATTTCTCAAATTAGAAGTAAGAGGCATTGATAGTCTGGTTGTTTTTATTAGCTCTCCAATTAACAAACAGTGTGTGAAATTACGATACTATGGGGTGTGACGCCATGGAATTTTGTAGTCAGTATCAGCAGACTGCCTTATATTCAAGTCCATACAGGTGAAGGCAGCAGATTTTTTCGAAACGTTGGTATCTATCTAAAAATCTGTACGGCTTCGCATACCAGAAGACAGTGACCTCAGAATTTACCTCTGTAAGTATTTCACATCTCAAACAGTATCCGACTTGGTTGGGGCGTGGGAGGGAATGTGCAATAAATCCATTAACATAGACAATGTCTCGTGTTATAAAGAATCATACAGGAAGATGGAATTATTTACTTCTGGGATGTGACGCCGTGTAGTCCAATAGTAAATATCAACATTTTGGAGAAACCCTCTGTCTCCATCTTCGACCCTGCTGTACCGTGAAAATGGGGATAGCAGGTCACTGAAAAGTTTGGTTCTCTTCTTTCAGACTACACGGCTTCATGCCCCAGAAGATAGCTGTAATATTAACTTCTGCAGTAACTTCTAACCTCACACATAGAAATTTGTCACTTGACTCTGCCAGGACTGGGAATGGGGGCAGAGTTTGATAGATGGGGTCTATTTATTTTTCGGTTTTTAGGTTATCACCCCGACGTACACAGAGGTACATAGCAGTACATTAGCGGTACATATATAGTTCAGAGCGCTATATATTGAAGAAGCTATTCCGATGCATTGTGACATCATAGCTATTGTTCCCAACAATACACGAGTCAACACTGTAACAATTGACCTGTATTTTACTCGTATAACATGTGCTGGTCGTTCCTCCGTTGTTCTCTACTGGGTTGGAATGCCCACCTAGTTCCGAAGGGCCATTTCGATCCCTCGAAGCAGCACATTATGAAATATGTATGTACGCAAACCTTGATATTAAATACGGAATAATTCAGCGCATCGAACAGAAGGCAAAAGTAAGTCCGAGCTCGAACCGGCCAGTAGTGTACAGGCGAGGCAGGCGAGGCTGAGTGATGCTACAGACGATGCCGTAAGTACATGTTTTAAAACTTGCGTGACGTATGACACGAGTGCGACCAAGGACGACTCATGATTAAATGGCGACACAGACGATCAGAAATTAGCCCTCCCTCTCCACAGTTAAAAATTGATAATCTTTGACAAAAGTTCCTTAAGATTAACAACAAAGCAAAATTTCCAGATACTGACGAAAGCTATAATTTGTGTACTTCCTAAAACACGTTTATTCGCATTATTCTATAACATGTCTGGTTGGGTATCTGAGGTTATTCAAGAACGATTTTAGTAGCTACACCGTATGGTGTCATGTGGATAGATGACAGATATATGATGAACTGGAAATAATTAGGAAAGAATCATTCTTGGTCTCATGGAAGCACCATCTTCGAATTCGCTTGGCGGTGATGACGTAAACCACTAAATATCTCAGTCATGACAGGCGGTATCCCGGCTGAGATTCGAACAGAACACCCCCCAGAACAAAATTAGAGCTTTAATGCTACGCTAAATCCCGAAAGTATTAAATTGCTGTCAAACGATATTCAAGATATGGACAAGACAGCAGCAGAAATTCTGGTTTGACAAAAGGTAAAATGAAAGGGAAGCTGTAAAATGGGCCACCACTAAAATCGTGCCAACCCTGACGGCCGTTTCATTCATCTGCGTGATCAAACTGTTCACAGTAAGCAGTAATATTTAAATATTTTTAATGTTGTCGAGGAATAATTTCTTTCCCATTCACTGACATACATACATTTCCAGTTGTGAGAAATCCGTCTTCAGACTGCTAATCAGTATCATTACCAATGTTCAGGGAATTTCTTGACCAGGTGAGCGACTTCAGCTTCTCACGAATGACTACGTTCCATGAAGTCAATCATTTGGTCTGAGAAATAATCTGATTTAGTTCTTCACGTAATCGGTTATGTTTGTTTTGCAGTTTCCGCGCTTGGGCCGAACCCACTGTGACCGCAGTAACTGAGCCCGTCGTGCATGGTGAGGGCCCCCACTGGGATGCAGAAACTGGTGTTCTGTTCTTTGTCGACATTGACCAGCAACGCGTCAATAAATATGATCCAGCTACCAACAAAGTGACATACGCACAGTTTGGTGAGTCTGCGCACACAGAGTTTCTAACCTCACATCTCATACAGAGTGGCGCATGAAATAACACAATCTTTATTTCAATTACAACACCAGAAACTAACACATAAAAGGAAAGATCATTGCATTGAGATTTATCCTCTGTGAATCAAGTGTTCAGTATGACCACCGTTACGTCTGGCAACTTTTTCAGCGCGAACTGTGACGTTACTGATTACTCGGCGGCATATATCCTCGGTTATCTCGCTGCAGGCCTGAATGATTAGTGATTTCAATTCCATTACTATTTGCGGGTTTTTTTGGAAAGATCTTTTCCTTAAGGAATCCCCAAAGAAAGTAGTCACGTGGGTTTAAATAAGGACTATTCGGGGGCCAGTTCTATCCACGTGCTTCCCTCTATGATATTCTACCAGTCTCTATACCCTACCGATACTGGTGCTTACCATCAGTCCCGACCAAGCCAGCGAGTTTGGCCTCTACTGGCTTGGCGGTATCTATAATGCTTCCCCCATCTATCAGAGGCGTTAGAGACTACTGTTAGGCGGGAAATGTCCTTGAATTTGGCTCAGTGATCTCCTTAGGAGATATGAGGTTCTTTTACGTGCCGTAAAGCTACGACACGGGACCCACGGCTTAAAGTCCCTCCCGGAGGACTTGTTCCCTGAATTTTTCCGCCCTTAAAAATTCCACGACCTCCGTGTAGGAGAGTAAGACAAAGAAGAAGGGGGGAATGAAGAGAACGAAATGTTGTAGGAAAAGGGGTGGAGGAAAAGGAGGCAATGATGAAACAGGAAGAGAAGGCTGAGGAAAGATGAATATGGGAGAAGCGAAGAAAGAGGAAGATGAGATGGCAAATGAAGTGAATAAGGAGAAAAGAAAGAGGATGAGTTGAAGTTGAGGAGAGAAGAAGAAAAAGAGGAGGAGGAAGAGGAGATGGGAATGGAACAGAAAAGGAGGTAAGGTGAAAGTTGTCCATATGCTTCACTAATTAAGAATTGCGCCAAGAAGACATGTGAGGGAGTGGATGTATAGATCCACGTATTCTTGACCTCGTCAAGCTGAGTGGTCAGCTTCACCCCTCGGGAGACTCAATGAACCGGGGGCTGTTTGAACCCCAGAATCGGGCTGGACGACTGAGAGTGGAGAAAAATCTTGCCCCTACCGCAATTCGAACTCTAACCTCGGGGCCGTCCAGCCCGTAGCCGGTCGTCAGCGAACGCGCAATCGCGGCTCACCAGAGAAGAGCAGAGTAAAAGAGAACGAACAAGAAAGAAGAGTAAAAGATAAAGGAAAGAGATAACAGAATAGAAGGAAAGGAATTAGAATGAAGAGGGAAAGAGAAGGTTCGTTCCCAGTGCCTAAGACAGGCCTAATCACACGGTTGGTTCAGCTACGAATGTTGTGTAGCACCGAACGTTGCGAAGGGGCAATAACTTTCGTTGAAAATGAAAGGTTTTGGAAGCGGGGGGGGGGGGGCATACGTGGCATATTTTGAGGCATTATCTGGAATCCTGCTGAAAGAACTGAGGAATACTACAAAAGAACTGATCATCACATTAAAGGTTAGCGCTTGAGTGAAACTTCTCGAGGTTTTATTCGATGGCTTTGCGAGGTGTTCCCGAAGTTGGCCGCAATTGTTCTGAATTCCCCCAATAATATCCCACCAACAGAACAATTACTTACAGGAAGGAAGGTAACATATTGTATACTTGTTGACAAGTTCTCCGCTTAGAATTTTCTAATTAAATCTTCAGTTTTGAGATTACTTTTATGATTCTGCAATTCTACTTCAATAATCTAAAATACGAAAAACTTCTCGGACATAAATCACAAATAGATTTATTTGCGGCTTATTCACCGCCGACCCCAGAAGCTTCGACCTAATAGAGCTGAATGATGAATTGGAATGCGCGTGGAAGAAAGCATTGTGACCTATTTGAATTTACTTTCCTCATTCGCCTGGAGGGACTGAAAAGAAGAAAAAAAAAACACGAAACTCTGAGTCATGATGGTTAGTGTCAAGGCCGAGATTCGAGCCGTTCGCGTCTGGGATACAAGTCACAAACTTTTCCGCATGACTGAACATGCTCTGTCATAGATCATAAATTTATGGTGAAACCGGAAAGCTTGCTTCTTATAGGTTTGTGTTTTGAAGGAGAAAAAGAAAGAAGGGAAGGAGGTAAAGGTAAGAAAGTGTATACATAACCCCCCCCCAAAAGCGAACTACATTCGTGGTGAGATGTAGAGCTATCAAGCACGACATAATATTAACTTCCTAGGAAAACTCACAGTCATTACCACTGCCAGCACGCATTACTTCTCGTTAATGAAGCACATCGTATCAAAGTAGAGTATTGCTTGTCGGTCACAGCGGAGCAGTTTACAATAACATCACATTTTGCGAAATGTGTAAGAAAGATGATCTTCAAATTACTCTAAGAAAAGCATTTCAAATTTAAACTGTAATGTTCAGACTAGAAAACAATGCAATTCTATGGTTCGGTCGTCGTACTATATGGACTGTAACAGATTTTCTCCCGTTGCTCTCTTTAAAGCATCCGGTACTACAGCCGTCATTCCATATCGGTTAAATGCTTTGCCCTAGAAGAATGAGGAGACTCTCCGTCGAATTTTCAACGGGCATTACACTAATGAGGTGGAATTAAGTAACCGTACTTTTCAAGTTAACTTTGTTTATTTTTCTTGATTCCTATAGCTTTGACTATACAGCATCCAGTGATAGGACAATTAGTGAGTAGTGAATCTAAAATTGTGTGAAATGAAGTAGTTAGGTCTTAGCGTAAAGTAAAATTTCGGCGTTTGCCTTGGGGAAATACTGAAAGCACTATATGTGGCAATGAGTGTAACCGGTCTTTAAAGCGTGATCTGCAGCCAAGGCGTCCCGAAAACGAAGGATGTATGTTACTCACTCGGCCGTGACGTTTCGTCCTTTATTTATAATCGGTTAACATTTAAATAACAATAAATATAATATAATAATATACGGTTCTTTGTCAACTGTATACTCCCGTATAAAATTATTACAGTTCCTCCAAATTTTAACCAGTTCGGTGGACAGCCCTGGCTGCTATATTCACCTTATTTGTTTATGTGGACGCATTTTATTTAATCATCATCTTCATGGTTGAGAAAATGTTTGGGGTGTTCCGTCGTTTTCAAGAGTGTGCAGGTGTAGGAGAATGGCTGTATAGCCCACCTCGGCACTAGATGGAGGTGTGCGGCCAGTTTCACGCTCTGGTCGCTTTGATACCGGGGAAAGGGCCCCATAAACCCGTTAGACAAGAGGTTGTGTGGACTCCAGAGCCGGTCTGGCCCTGTGGAGCAGAGCAAAATCTCTTGCCCTGAAGGCAATCGAAATTATGTCCTTCAGCCCCGTAGACCTTGCTAACCGACTGAGCCAACCAGGATTCCGGGGGCTCGGGTCCATATGTACTCATTTTATTTGTAGAATAAATTCTCTTCTTTTTTCAGTTGGAGGTGGAGTAAGTCTTGTGATACCAGTCAAAGGAACAAGAGCTCAGGAACTACTGACAACTCGTGGTCACGATGTAATAGTTTTCAGCTGGAACCAGGAAAATGCGAGGTTCGACAGTTCAGAGAACAGCAAGAATTTATCAGTGATTGCAAGAGTAGAAACAGATGCAGATAAATCTGGAAACCGTTGGAACGACGGGAAAGCTGACGCCAAGGGCCGTCTGTGGGCAGGTAAGTCACGCGGAGAGAGCCCCCACACAATGCGTTCAAAAGTCCCCATACTACACGTATTTCCAAATATCTTAACAACACATCTGGTGATATTTGAGCCGATTGGAAAATAAATTGTGGAGCGGATATATGTAAATGAAGTCACTGATGTTTTTGGAAAGAATCAAAATCAGAAAGATATTCCATTCCAGTTTGAAGGTTTAACATATTTGCTATTTTCTTTCATATATATATTGCCTGTGGTTCTGTACGGGTGTGAAACTTGGTCTCTGACATTAAGGGAGGAACATATACAGAGGGTGTTTGAGAAAAGGGTGTTGAGGAGGATATTTGGACCGAAGAGGGACGAAGTGACATAAGGCTGGATAAAACGGCATAATGAGGAGCTTCATAACTTGTACTCTTCTCCAAGTATAATTAGAATGATCAAGTTAAGGAGGATGAGGTGGGCAGAGCATGTAGCACGAATGGTGGCGAAAAGGAATGCATATAGGGTATTGGTGAGGAAGCGAGAAGGAAAGAGACCACTGGGAAGACCAAGGCGTAGGCGGGTGGTCAATATTAAAATGGATCTTAGAGAGATAGGATTGGATTGAGCTAGCTCAGGATAGGGGCCACTGGAGAGCTCCTATGAACACGGTAATAAACCTTCGGGTTCCATAAAATGCTGGGAAATTCTTGAGTAGCTGCTCAATTGGCGGCTTCTCAAGAAGGTCTCAGCTCCATTAGCGAGTGATATATATATATATAGCATATACATGTACGAGAAAGTACTGTGGTTATTAAAAATAATCGACGTCAAAATTCTGACAGATTTAAATGTTCAATAACAGGAGACATATTTGATAAGGCTGCCTGAATACGGTCCCATATGCGGACCGAAACATGTAGCAGCTATCAAATAAAACCAGTGTGAGCAGTTCCATTAGGACAAGTCTGTTTTTGTAATACAGACGTTATAAACTAAATTTGTAAATACTCTCTAGCTAAATTTCCTGCACCTAACTATGCAAACTCGCAGTTGCCGCAAAATTAAAATTCCGTCGTCTACGGTGTTTACGAAACGTATTACCTAACATCAATTAATAAATCATTTTCATGACCACTCAAGCTACTTAACACCGCTTAGACTCTGAGTAACTCCTATGAAAGAAACTCACGTAGCAGACCGTCGGCCAAATATTTTCTCGATTCTATCATTTCTTTTTCTGATGTCTTTCGGATGTGTAATTAAAGCTATAACTAAGACACTGGACAATGACCAATATAACAATTTTATAAATATGGGCGGTGGCGAAGTTGACTGAGGCACTATGCTACAGCCGGAAGGTTGCAGGTTCGAGTCTAGATGAGGTTTTTTTTTTTTCAATTTACCTAATCCTTCCAGTCGCACTGTGGCCCTGGGATCCACTCAACTCAAAACAGATATATCACTAATAGAAACTTACCTGGGGTGTAAAGGGCGGCCGGCGCGTAAGGCTGACAACCTTACCGCCATCTGTGAGCCGATTATCTAGAGGAAATTTTGGAGCCTCGACGTGTCACAATCCTATGGGCCTCCACGGCCTGTTACAAGGATAGTTTTACCCTTTTACCTTACTTTCATAATAAGTAAGAAGCACTCACAGATCTAGAGAGGGTCTCCAGAATCACTGTTCGCATCCCTGCTGCCGAAACTAGTTCCTTCACAACATGTAGCTCTCCTGTAACGGTGATTTCTTTTTCAGGCACAATGGGCCCCGAGCCGGTAGTCGGCTCCGTGACACCAGATCAAGGTTCATTCTATCTGCTGCAAGCAGGAAGTGATCCCATAACCGAAATATCGCCAGTGAGCATTTCCAACGGTCTGGCATGGAGCGAAGATAACACTCAGTTGTATTACATCGATACAGCTACTGGCCAAGTCGACGTCTTCGATTTCGATCTGGAGAGGGCCAAGATCGGTGAGCATTACTGCTATGGGCAGACAGGGAGCATATTCGGCATGAAAGTAGTCTGTGTGAATCATCTCTGAGGGCGATTCATCGTCTGGTAGTGACGTAAACCCCTACGCCATCGTTTAAAGATTACTAACAGTAGCCATTCTGGTCCGTCACACTATTCAACATTAAGTGAACGACAACACCGTCGAGTGCGACCAGTCTGATGTAATTATACAGAAATCTTTACATGGCCACCATCAGAAGGCGCTTAAGGCGAGAGGAACAGCTTTACAGTTATGAAGATCAACTGCTCATCAGTTCTATCCAGTAGAGTCGATCACGGTGGCCGTGCGGTCTAAGGCATGAACCGTCTCCTCCTGCTCGAGCACTGGGATCTTGAGTTTGAATCCCAATCGAGGCATGGATGTCTGTGTGCGATTATTCTGTGTTGGTGTTGTTCTGTGTGTAGGTAGTGGCCTTGCGATGGCTGATCCCCCGTCAAAGGAATCCTACCGACTGTGTATATGATTAAGAAACTGAAAAAGGGGCCAGTGTCCAAAGGGCTATAGAGTCATAGAGAGAGAGAGATTTAATTAATTACATTTACAATTACAGTAAAAACGGAATTTATTCAGGACACTAATGTTAAAGCGCAAAGCTCTTAATGTTTTAAAATAGTTTGCATTTAAGTGTGCGCCGCGATAGAGTAGTCGGTATAGCGACTGACTACGGACTGGACAATCGAGGGGTCGGATTTCGAGTCCCGGTAAGGTCAAAACTTTTCCATTCTCCACGTCCTTTAGACGGGTTCTGGGACCCACCCAGCCTCCTATCTAATGGGAACCGGGGGCTATATCCCCGGGGTAAAGTGGCCGGGACGTGAAGCTGACCAGTCACCTCCAGATAGTGCCGAGGTCAAAGAAAATGTGGATCTGTACATCCATCCCCCCATACGTCTTCACAGCGTAATGCTTAACTAGTTAAACAAAGGGTCAGCTTTGCCTTTTAATATTATGTTCGATATGTAATCGATATATTTGGGCTTCGAGTAAAAATGTGTTAGACATAATGAATTCAAATAAGTTAACTGATGTCTGATTACACGTATGTATTTGCAGCTAACAGGAGGAAAGTTTTCAATCTTGCCGAAAATGGCGTCAAAGGGCACCCAGACGGCATGACGATTGATTCTGAAGGAAATTTATGGATTGCTGCTTTCGACGGCAGCCAGGTTTGTACATTTCTCGCAGTTAGCCTACGCATGCGTGAAACGTGATCTGAAATATGTGTTACTAATTTCCACCGAACTATGTCCCTATAATGCTGGGGTCTCCAAACTTTTCGAACCGCGGGCCACATTAGGTAATTCAGTACTTTCAACGGGCCGGATAAAATGAGAAATTAATAACTCTAGGTATATGAGTTTTATTGAAAGCACAGAATTTCCTAAACTAAATACAAAATACGTGAGAATAAAAGATCGTATATTAATGACAACAGAAAGTAGCAGCAAATGCTCATATTTTCATCACAAATTATATTAAAACAATTAATGTGAATGATGGAACTCTTTTTGCATTCTTAAATCTGATTGAGGTTCAAATTTTGAAACGCTAATCACAAGTAGCGACTTTAAATGCTCATCGGATAAATTTGCCCTGTATTTCGACTTGATGTACTTCATCTGGGAAAAGGTTTGTTCACACAGTTATGTCGTCCCAAAAATGGAGATAAATTTACAAGCAAATTTCTTTAAATTTGGAAATTGCTCAGAGTTCAGAAATTTATAAAATTCAATCAAATTTCCTTCCTTGCGTTTGTCTTTAATATGATAATTTTCCTGAAGTTCAATAATTTCCATTTGAATTTGACATCTGCAGAATCACAATCAAACGGATTTTGAAACAATCTAATTTCCTGAGTAGTGGAATCAAAATCAGCAATTCGCTTCCGAAATTGTTCTTTCAAATCTAATATGACTAAATTTGCAAACGAGGAAGAAAATTCTGCTTCACCCTTTTAAGAACAAAGTTACAATTTTTCGCTTGTCTTTCCAGAAGTATCAACTTTGCTCTGAATGCTTTGATAAATGCAAATAAACCACAGACTAAATTATTTTCACCCTGCAACTTTAAATTCAAATGGTTCATATTGTTCACGAGATCAGCAAAACTGCTAATTTCCAAAGCAACTTGGTATCTGATAAAAGTGGTTCGTGATGGTTTTTCTCGGTAAGAAATATATCAATTTCATTCCTGAGCTGAAAGAAGCGCGAAAGAACCTTTCCACAGCTAAGCCATCGAACTGCAGTATAATATGTCAGGTCAATAAGCTCGGAATCACATTTACCAGTATTCACTGGAAAATTAGTTTAACTGGCGCATTTCTGCACAATTCTTTCTAGGGCCGGATGTGGCCCGCGGACCGTAGTTTGGATACCCTTGTTATAATGCATAGAGATGTTTAATTTTCACTTTTCCATTATAAATGTTCACTAATTCGTTAATTTAATATATAATAGGATAGGGCAGATTCTAACTTGTACTGAAAGATCTTCAAACAATTCTTAGGGTCACAAAGTGGTGGTAGTGAGTGAGAGAATTTTATTATTTGAAGGCAAATGATTGAAAGATTACGTATCACTTACTAATGTCTGCTGGCATGTCACTGGGTAGGCTAAACCTGTAAATCTCGCAAATACACGTACAGCTGCATATAAACCTACCTAGTAATAAGACCCAGAACCAAAAATAACTGTGTTCGCGAGGGCCAGCAGCAATTTATCCGAACCAAACAGGTACGACACTCTCCATTGTGGAACCATTGACAATGTTTTAGTTGGAAATACAAAACAAGTCCTCGAACTTCATAAAATTTTAATGGGTTTAAAATGTTACGTCGCACAAGCGGTGATCCGGAGTAGCCCACCCTCAGAAGAGGTTCCGCGATGCCGAGAGTGTGAAACTGTAGACAAGCAACACATTACAGTAACATATTTTTAAGTATTTTAATTTATTTTCTATTTTTAAAACATTAAGCTTTTTTTTAAAGATTTTACATGATGAAGAAAATGGCGGATATAACGACATAGGAAGGGCTCACATCTCGGGCCCTGAGGGAACACATGGAAGTCAGGAGATTAAACATAGTGCCATTATTCTTTTGCAGGTTATCAACGTGGACCCTGACTCGGGTGAACTGATACGCAGTGTGCCAATCCCGGCCAGCCGAGTCACATCTGTTACGTTCGGAGGCCCCAATTTGGACATCCTGTACGTAACTACGTCCCGACTAGGTCTTTCCGAGGTGGAACAGGAGCAGCAGCCATTGGCAGGCTCTGTGTTCGCTGTCACTGGTCTGGGGGTATCCGCCCTGGCACCCGCCAACAACGTTATTCCTCCCGTCTAGATTAACAATTTGTGTTCGGAATTGCTGTGAGCAGTACTATAGAACGATTTTACTACACCGTTCAGCGTGACTCAAATGTTTCGGTCAATTAATGACAATCTTCAGAAGGCAAATAATAACACGTTAAATAAATCATAGTTCATCAAGTTCAAAGTTGTTCGAAGATTTTAATCATGCTAAAATGTGGGGAGCTAAAATATTAATAAAATTCTTAAAATGTAAAATCTTAAACCGCTAAGGTTCATATCTTCGTGCCCCTTCTATCAACGGGAGATTGGCTAGATTGCCACCTTTGCAGGTCTGGGTAGTGTTTTTTCTTCTTATATAGTTGGTTAAGAGTCTGTAGTTGATGTTGAGCTTCTCCTTTCCTTGTTTGTTGAGGCACTGTGCCTCAGCAAACACACAAACAAGTAAAATAATTCTATAATATTGACTAGTGTGACAGCCCAGAATGAATAAAGTTAAACTTTTTTTGAGCAAATTTCTCTGCAGGTGGAGCCGACAGTTTTATGTGGTTTCTAGTGAAAGCTACATTACTGATCTTACTTTCAAGTCGTTAGAGGGACAGCCTGCGCGTACATTTCCCCGCTGAGTTAGTCACGCAACCAACTCCACTATAGAAGGATTAAAATGAACTAAACTGGAGAACGCCTAATAAGCCGTATTATCCTCCAACTAAGAGAAACCGATGCAAATAGAGATAGAACCTTGATTGTTCTTATTTACGGAAACACTGAGCATCAAAGTACCAAGCATAAGGGTTAGTTTACGAACATTAAGACGATGTTTTAATTTGCACAGAAAAGTGGGTAAGCTTTAGTAATTTTATTGTCATATTTTCGTTGGACGATAACAGGTCTAAACGTGAGGAATTATCTAACAAGGGAATCGAAATATTATATAGATTCTGAAATTTAGTTCAAAGAAGCTGAAAAATTAAAATTGTTAAAAAGAAAGAAAATCCTTTCGTCATAATCCTCTGTCATAATAGTCAAATTTGAGCACCGAAACAACATGGCAACGTGACAAAATAAAATTTGAAATGCAAGATGGAAGGCAGGGCGCAATGTTGCCCACAAAAACAATATTTTGGAAACGCTCAAAACTGAGCCTTTAGAAGAAGAATTCCATGCATATATACTATAACCGGTTTCAACATGTCTTTCGAACGAAGGACTGCATCACTGTGAGACAGCTCCTGAACTCGTGTCCAGCTGGAAGACGTCGTGAGGGCCTGGATCGTTACAAACTGCCCTTAGATGGTCTAACCTTGCAGTCAAATTGAAGTAATTAAGTGAACTATTGACACAATATAACGTAACTTTTATCAGAAACCGCATGTTAAACAGTTTTCTTTACTTTGTTTTATTGATTATAGTAATTATCGTAATTAGTAATTCGTATATATTTCTTATTGTAGTATTTAAAATTGTATAATCAGTGCTAGAGCTAAATAGCTACGAGCATAATCTGAAAATGTAAGCCACTAATGCGTTTTCCTTAGTAAACACTTCATACTGTATTGAATGTTGTTTGTTTATTCCCGCGTGTGCTTTATGAACAGACAAATGAAATAATCATACAAATTGGATATTCAATTTTGGATATCGAAACATTTCATAGTATAATCTAATTTGATTTTCCCTGTGAGAAAACGCATAAGAATGAATATAAAAGTAAAGTAAGTAAAGGTATACCTGTAACAGGCCGTGGAGGTCCATACAGCCCCTAGTACCCTTTCCATAGGAGACTGGGTGGGCCCCAGGGCCGATCTAGATGACCTGAAGCAGAGAAAAAGTATCTTGCTCCTGTCAGAAATCGAATCCCAGTCCCTCGTTAGTCCAACTCAGCCTATCCATTGAGCTATCCATTCGAATGGAATAAGAAGCACAGATATTATGTTTATGGACATTATCCATCGTCCTGATTTTAATTAAAATCTCAATGTTTCGAGACCTGATTATCCCTGTAAACCTACTCAGTTGGGCCCAGTAGATAGAACTAGTCCCTATCTCTGGACACTTGTACCAACACAAGATAAGGTAAACAAGCCAAATCCAGCACAAATCGTCTGCGAGAGCTAAGACAAAATATTAAAATAAGAATGCTTTCCTTCTGAACAATGGAACGAAAGAAATTTTCGAAAAAATTAATAATTACGTACAGTATGTAGACAAATAATGAGAATCTCCTAATAGGCACGAGTAGTTATAATAATAATAATAATAATAATAATAACAACAACAACAACAACAACAACAACAAAAACAATAATTGGTAAAAGAGCACTTTGTGAGCCATTCTCTTCCATAGATGATTCTGCCAGAATTGCTCCGGGTTTCATTTCTTCGGATTTCACAACAATATTTTTTCTACAGAGCAAGATTTTCAGTCCTGCGTCGAACTCCCAAAACCGGAGGACCATGTCACTATACTTACGTCCCCCATTGACAGGGTAGCCCAGTAATACCTCCAGGCACCGTTCCTTTTCGTCGCCTTCTACGTCTCCCAGGGCTACGGTGGAGGTATACTAACCGGCCTCCATACAAGCTAAATAGACGACATTTAATAAACCGGAGTACATGATAACGGTACAGATGCAGGCGATGACTTAGCAAATTCTAGTTATTTCCACAATAAGCACGAGATATGTCGTGTAAAACAGGCAGCTTAATATGTCTAGTATAAGAATTAGTACTTATTATGATCTCTAATTCAGCATATTGTAAAGAATATGACCATTCCTAGGCAACGGTTCGGTAAGCACCCCCTAAAATTCAGAATAGGGGAGCCAGATCAGATGTCCATCACTGAACAACAGTTCGGTAATCACATTCTCGCTCCAACGGATAGGCTGGTAAAGGTCAAAGCGTTGCCATGAATTGACACGCGTTTTTTCGGCAAAGAATATGAACAAAGACACATCCCTATGATAACGGGAGAATGGTAACTAACTGTTCGAGGTGGTGGTCTCTATTTGGTTCTCCCGAAGTTCTAAAAGAGACTTAATTCGTAAGTCAAGAGAACAAGGAGAACACCCATCTTCTCGTCAGAGAGGTTACATAAGGACTATTACCGCAAAAGTTCAGTTGGGATAAAGAATCTGTGGTCGTGGGCCTCAAGGGGCCTGACGACAAGATGAACTGATTGGTGGTAAACCGCCTGTCGTAAAGTAACTCTGACTCAAGAGAACATTTGTCAGACAGTCGTTGGCCAAGACAGTCGCAGCATAAAGGAGAACCAAGAATTCACTCGGGAGAGATTCTTCGTTCGACATTAGTCACAGTGGAAGAGAAGACACTCGTATTCCAGTAAGGAATCGAGAGAGTTGTAGACAGTCACTGATTGTGAGCTGCTGTAATTAATTGTAATTGTAAAGAAGTGCCAATAAATCCAGTCATCCAATCCAGAACCTATTACAATTCGTCACGCAACCCCGGACACGTAAAAATATATTATAAACTAAATAAAAACTGAAATATTGTACAGGAAGGGTCTGCAAAAATGGTAGCGGAATTTCGAAAAAGTATAATTCCTCATTTCGAATAGGTAACATTTTTTTAGAAATGTAATTCATAAAAAAGAACCTAATAAAGTGAAGGAAACAAGAAAAAACATAGAGATATTGGGTTTACGGACTTTATCCATCGTCCTGGTTTTTAAGATAACTAATAAAAACACGACGTTTTGGAAACTGGATCTGTTTCCGTCCTCAGGTGAGGGAAAACACCAATTCTGTTGGGTCCCTTAGGAAGAGCTAGCCTCAATCACTGGAATCCCTCACTTGAGGACGGAAACAGATCCAGTTTCCGAAACGTCGTGTTTTTATTAGTTATCTTAAAAACCGGGACGATGGATAAAGCCCGAAAATCCAGTATCTCTGTGTGTTATACACCATCGTCAGAATCCTATAGTAACTACAAGAAAAAACACAGGTCTACATTATGTACAAAAGTCTTATTTTTTTTATAAAGAAGGAAAGTCATATCTGTAGAATATTAATTACATGAATATGTGCAAAATAATCACATAGTTTTCATCAGAAGTTAACCTCAAGCTGTATCCTTGTATAAAGAGAGATAATTAAAATTATTTAAAATGAAAGACTCGCCTGTCCTGAATTAACTAGGGCGATAAGTAAGAATAGATTTAAACGACTTAAATGTAAATTTTGAACACAATTTTCGAGCCCCCCCCCTCTTGGAAAATTGGCTCTCAGCCTAAAAAACTGGCTCCCTCCATGTTCTCAAAAGAGTTGCATCGGAATGCTTAGTTGTCACACAAGAATCGCCTACGGTTAGCTGTGGTCTTGCTGTTAAGGCTAGACACAAAACAATATTCATATGTGAAGGCTATTTATGGGAACCACAAAAATGCTGTAATGTATTGAAACTTCATTAGTAGAAGTTATGGAAATTCCCGGTGTTCCAATCTTTAAAAATTCTCGTCGTCGCAAACTTTGATTATCTGCAAAGTTTTTCGTTTTCTTGCACGTATTTTCAGGTTATGAAAGTTGAAATGATAAGATTACGAAAACAAGTAAACTGGCACTTTCGCATTACCTTGTCACTCGTGGACTGGTTCTCTAAAACTTGATATAGCAACGGTAATTTTCAAATAAAAGTGACAATCACTGAAGAATGTATTCGTAAAAAGTTGGTTGTCGTGAACTAGAAATTTTGTTAAGAGACGGTGTTACTAAGTTGTTCAGTTGAAAATATTCAAATAAGCCAAGCATGACAGAAATAGTTAAAAGCAATATGAAAGTCTTCGTAAAATTTATGGTACTTCAGTCCTGATAAGTTTATCCAAATATTATTAATATGCAATTTACTTTAAATATTCCTATTGACGAATAATTGCGAAGGTTGCATATCGATTTGTGGTCTTGCGTCATACATCAGAGATCGTACGTAATCGAGTCATCAAGGTTCTATGAACATCTAAACTCAATTTCGGAAGACACTTAGCATTGATGGTACTGTAATACTTGTTTTACTGATAAGTATAATAAATAGGTTGCAAAATGTTTAGTATCTAATTTCACTTAAGATATTGTTTCAATAAAATAATAACTGGGAAAAGCGGTAGCATAGTTGGTTGAGGCACTATGTTACAAGACGGCTGCGCCATAGCTCAAGCGGTTAGTCGCTGGTTTCCCACCGCGGCGGCCCGGGTTCGATCCCGGGTCTGGTAAAGTGGGATTTGTGGTGGACAAAGTGGCGCTGGGGCGGGTTTTCTCCGAGTACTTCTGTTTCCCCTGCTAATTTTTATTCCACCAAAATTCTCCATCAACATAATCACCCGGGGCAGGTGCAATAGGTCAATCAGTGGCCGCCGTGCCGAGTGGACCGACCCAGCTGGACTCCACCCCCCACTAAGCTAATTTAAAAAAAGAAGTTACAAGCCGGAAAGTCGCGGGTTGAATTTCAGATGGGGTCATTGGATTTTTCAATTCACCTAATCCTTCCAGCCGCGCCATGGCCTTGGGGTCGACACAGGCTCTAACACAATTGAGAACCAGGAATATTCCTGGTGGGAGGGGGTAAAGGGCTGCCGGCGCGTAAGGCTGACAACCTTACCGCCATTTTTGTGCCGATTGTCTAGAAACTGTGGGAGCCTCATCGGGACTTGAACCCGCGACCTTCCGACTTGCAGCACAATGCCTCACCCAACATTCGAGAATCATACGAAATATTTACACACTGTGGAGAAAATGTGGACTTTCTAAAGGAGGTGGTGCATACAGTGACAAATGTGTTTTGAAGGTTTATTGGAGTTAGTACACGTGATTCATTAAATGTGGAATAACTGTGAGCAGACACGGGGCTTGGCCGATAGAAGATATTTATTTTTGTTGCTTAAAACAGAATAGTGACAGACGCTGCTCAGAATCTCGTGGCATGTGGGCGAGATCAAAATTAATTTAGTTACAGTTTAATAATTGAAATGAACGTCTAAAGCGTGAACAGTCGCTTGCTAATGTGATGTTGCAGCATGCGTAGATGGTCCTGAAGCCACCCGCAAGTGCGAAGAAGGCCCAAAAGTTACGCAAGTAACTGGGCCCGTTTTGCACGGCGAGGGGCCTCACTGGGATGTGGAGACCCAGGCTTTGTTTTATGCTGAAGTCGAGGACCAGCTAATCAACCGATATGAACCGGCTACGAATCGCGTGACGCACGCGAAACTTCGTAAGTAGACCAGCTTGCCTGCACTTGTTTCTGTCGCCAGGCAGTTTACATTCCTAGATTTTAAAGGGTTTTGACGGTAAGTCCAAAAACCCAGTAGTTCTGAGTTTACATCGGGTTTGGCACATCGTAAGCTGCCGTTTTCCGATCGTCTTCGTAAAGGCGGTTCATCGAGTCAACTAAATGTCAGATAAATTATGAACACATTTTAATGACAAAGGTGAGATAGCTCAGCCAGCGCCCATATCGAATCTGGGGCCCACCCAGCCTCCTGCCCACGGGGTACCGTCACCTCCCCACCCCTCGTATAGCGACTGGGGCATGAAACTGACCC